ACTTGAAACATTTTCAGGGATCTGTTAGGTTAGAACTATTTTCACATTAATGACGAGACATTAAGTGCCTCTTTCACCGAACTTGGCATTGGTGCTACTGGTGCAGAAGAAATGTGGCTATGGTAGGCAGAATTCTAAGATTTCTCAAGTCCTTTGCTCCCTAATATGAACTCTTCGAAGAACCCCCTAGCCTTGGGTGAGTATGATGGGGTATCACTCCCAGGCTCTGTGTGCTAATCAGTTGACTTCGAATTGATCAAAAAGGTGATTATCCATTGATCCTGAGACCCTATCAGGTGAACCCCCCCTTTTTTTTGAGTCAGAATCTCACTCTGTAACCCAGGCCGAAGTGTAGCGGCACGCACACTGCCACCGCAGCCTCGACCTGCTGAGCTCAGGTGATCCTTCTACCTTAGCCTGCCGAGTAGCCAGAACTACAGGCATGCTCTACCATGCCTGGCTAATTTTTTGACGCATTGTAGAGACGAGGTCTCACCAAGTTGCCCTGGTCAGTCTGGAACCCTTGGCTCAGGCAGTTCTCTCGTCTTGGCCTCCCAAAGTGCTGGGATTATAAACTTGAACTACCACGCCTGGCCTCAGGTGAACCCTTAAAAGGAACTTGGTCCTTTCTGATATAAGAGATTTGAAGTGCAAGGAAGACGTGCGAGGAAGTTCTCCACCATTGGCTTTAAAGATGAGGCAAAAAATGTGGGTAGCCTTTAGTTTCTGAGAATGACTCGGCTGTCATCCAGCTGGAAATGAGGACCTCAGTCTTGTAACTGCAAAGAACTTAATTCTGTTTCAACTACAAGAGAATCCTAAACTTCAGATGAGAACATAGCCTGGTTGGCATCTTGATTTAAGCCTGTGAGAAACCAACCATGTAGCATCTGGCCCCCTGACCTGTAGGACTGTTAGCTAATAAATGAGTGTTGTTTTAAGCCACTAAGTCTTACTAGTTTGTTACACAGCAACAGAATACTAATACAGTGGCTAAAATTGCTGCCACCTTAACACAGATCAAGGCTGAGACACCAAACTGTTCTTGACCTTCATATACTCACTGAAAAACATTTTTTTTTAACCTCAGAATGTCCTTGATGAAGGAGTAAAATTTATCCCTTTTATTAAATTTCAAGCCTTGAATTCAAGTCATTTCAATATTTTGAATGGTGAAATGAAAAACCATAAGGCGCTTCAACTGCACTGAAGTATGGTGGTTGCCTAAAGGAAAATGAGTTGTGACTTAAACTAATTGCTTTTTTAATGGAAGACCCTTTTTACTTGAAAGGACACACTATGGTTATTCATACTTGGGTATTTGACAGATATTTTTCTCACAAATTTTTCTCACACTCTTCTTATCAAATATCTTTTCATTTTGATAAATATAATTATTCTTATTAAAAATGTTATATAAATATAATTATTCTTATTAAAAATGAATAAAAGGAGCCCTCCACTTCAAGGAAAACTGATATTATTTATTGCCAATTATAAAATTCAAGATTGTGTGCAATTTTGGAAAATTTCAACTCTCAATTGTAATTTTGACAACCTCCCTGTGCATAAAGACTTTGTCTTATATGAGTAGTATATTAATGAATGTGATCTTTAAAATATTGTATAATGAAATGTAGCAAGGTTCCGAAGATCTTCATAGCTTAGTGAATCAATATTTTCTAAATGACCAATGCATGATGTCACAAACTTATGTGTGAGCAAAAGATCCGTTCAAAATGTCGGATGACAACTGATTTTAATGTAACTGGGTATGAAATAGTCATTGATCTGGTGTCATATTTCAAATTTCCACTATCCTTTAAGAAACTATCACTTGTGGAGTTTTAATTTAGCATCAAAGAGTTAGAGTTACCTGAAAAGGCTATTAAAATTCCTCTCTGTTTTTTCACTACATATCTGCGTGGGGTCAAATTTTCTCCATATGCTTCAACCAAACTATGTATTGCAGGAGATGGAATGTGGAAGCAGACAGAGATCCAGCTGTTTTCTACTAAGCCGGACATAAAAAGGATTTGCAGCAAAACAATGCCACTCTTCTTATCAAATATCTTTTCATTTTGATAAATATAATTATTCTTATTAAAAATGTTATTTATATTAACTTGTGATGGACTTATTTTTAAATATATAAAAATTTCAAACATTTCTTAGTTTTAATTTCAATGACAGTAAATGCTGATTATAAATAACCTACAGAAACAAAATCTTTTTGGTATCTTCAATAATTTTTTAAAGTAGAAAAGTGCCCTGACACCAAAGAGGTTGGGAGATGTTATGTAGAACAAAATTAGGAAATCTTGGCTCAGAAAGGTTTTGTGCCTTGCCTTCCAGCTCACATTACCGGGTTTCATGGCACCTGCCAGTTGACTGCTAAGCCAATGCCCCATATTAAAAAAAAACTCAAAAGCACTATGCTGTGGATATCAATTACTCTTGGTTAGAGTAGCCTAAATTACTATAAAAATAGACTCACACAGTTTAGTATAAAAGGGCTCAGACACAGCAAAGTTTATTTTTGCTTACTTAACAGTTGCAAGCTTTACTCCACACTGTAATTCAGGATCCCAGGGTGCAACTCTTTTGTGGTTTTACCATCCCTTGTTGCTTTGTTGTTATCTGCATCCAGCTGGCAAAAGGTAAAAGATACACTTATTTTCTTAAAACTTTGGAAAGTGGCACATATTACTTCTTTCATTTTATTGGTGAGAATTTGTCATATGGCCACCCCTGGATGGTAGCCACTTCTTAGCTATGGAAAGGAAGAACAGATTTTGGTAGATCCCTGACTGCCTACCACTATGACATAGCATATAGAGATTGGTTCAGAATTTGATTTTTGTATGCATCTTGATTCTACCCTTGCCATCTCTGTGTCTTTGTGTAAGTTATATTACGTAATCTCTGAGATTCTTTTTTTCTTCTTTATTGTAAGCTTTAAGTAGAGGGTCATCTTGTTTTAGACTCTGCCTAATTCTGTATATGTAGCAGTGAACAAGATAAATAAAATCTCTATTCTCATGGGGTTTACATATCAAACAAAGCCTCCATATTTCTTGAGATCTGGGTTAAACTTGATTCAAACACTCAATTTCATAGTCTATAGAAGTCTAAAGCCTGCTTAAGAGTTCTAAAAATTCCTGGGGGATGACATTCTCATGATTTCATCTACTTTCTAGACTCTTGTTCCTACATGTATTGCCTTTTTATTCGCGCATTGTCATGGAAGCTAAATTCAATCATGTCCACGCATTTCTCCACAAACGACTCTTCCAGACCAAACACTGTGGATAATGGAGACCTTTTTAGTCCTTGGGGAGGGTCATAATGCCCACTGCAGAGCAAGAAACTCTGTTTCCACGATAGCCATTTTTGCTTTCTAAACACTTTTTAGCTACCCAGTCCCCTTGAGTTCCTATTTGGAACAGCATTCTATTTCACTGTTCGGATTCCCCCCCACCCCCACCCCGGGTGGTTAGACTCCCATCTCCCAACTCTTGAATATTTCATGAGAATTTAAATTCATTTCCATTTATAATTTAGTGCAGTTCAGCTTTTTAAAGTTCCTACTTCCAAGTCTTAATCAAGTTGCTCCGAAGATAAAAGGACCTTAATTCTAATTCTCAAAGAATATAGTTTTAGGGGGAAGTTCTGGTTTAGTGCAAATTTCAAAATCTGAATATGTTTATCTACCCTAGAAAGACGGCTGAAATCAGTCCTGAGATGGTGAATGACTAGAGGAAAAACGTGGTGAGGGCAGAGACTGTCCCCAGGGCCGAATTTGGTGCTTGATATATAGTAGCATGGGCTCTCTCTCTCTCTACTTAATAGAAACAGGGTCTCTTCTGTCACCCAGGCTGGAGTGCAGGAGCACGATCAGTTCACTGCAGCCTCGAACTATTGGGCTCAAGTGATTCCCCTACCTCAGCCTCCCCAGTAGCTGGGACTACAGGTGTGTGCCACCACCTCTGGCTAATGAAAAACTTTGTGTGTCTGTGTGTGTGTGTGTAAAGACAGGGTCTTCCCATATTACCCAGGTTGGTCTCGAACTCTTGGCTTCGAGTGGTCCTTTTATCTCAGCCTCCCAAAGCGCTGGGATTACAGGCGTGAGCCACCAACCGGACCAATATTTTTAGAAGAGAATTATTGAATTGAGACAGTCTTTGACGAGTTAGGATAAACAACTCCAGCAGTTTAGTGGTTTACGGTGATGTCACGGGAGTAGAAAGGAACCCCGTTTTCATTTCTGTTTTCCTCCGTATATAGCTGTGTTTGTTATAAAACTAACAAGTACCCTTGTATATTTTGACTGTTTTACTAACATGGATAGTGATTGTAATAAAAAATGGTGATGACATTTTTCTTAAGAGTAGGATGGAAAATCAAGATAATGGTGGGAAATGACCCAGTTCTAAAAGGAGGTGGGGGGGGCTGAGAAAGTGAATGCACATCGTCCTGAACTCCTGTCCTTCGCCGGCCTCTCTGAGAGGTGATTTTTAAGCAGTGATGCCTCAAGACCCTCGCTGCACCCCTGGGTGAGACGGCCTCCCGCTTGACAGACGTGGCACGTGGAGAGGGCAGCGGGTGCCGACGGATGCCCGTGGAGAGGGTGCGCTGGGACCCGGCTCTCCTGAACCCAGGCCACTCCGCTGCCCGGGAGGACCAGCTGCACCTCTCCGGGTCCGGCTGGCAAGACTCCAGCAGCGGGAAGGAAAGACACGCTTGCCCCCCCGACACGCCCCTGCGCGAAGCCCTTGCGGTCGATGACCGAGGGAGCCGCTAAGGAGCGCCGAGGGGGTCGATCGCCGGCCGAAGCTCTGCGCGCGCGTGCGCGAGACGGCGACGTCCTCCGCGCGCCGCCGTAGCGCGCCGTCGCCATAGCGACCGCCCCGGGCAACCGCGAAGCTCCGCGGTCCGGCGGGCGCGTTCGGGTCTGCGCGGAGCCGGGCTCGTCCCTTCCCTCGGGACGGGCGCCTTCCTCCTCCTTTCCTCCTTCCCGCCCGCCCCCGAGCCATGGCGAGCGGGACCAGGGACGTTCGGAAGCTCTTCATCTTCACCACGACCCAGAACTACTTCGGGCTGGCGTCGGAGCCCGGGGACCAGTCGCCGCTGCACGACTGCCTTGAAGTCAACAACTTCTTGGACGACGGCAACCAGATGCTCCTCCGGGTGCAGCGACCCGACGCCGGACTCGCCTTCTCCAACACGGTGCGGCTCCCCACACCCCGCCTCGCCTCCCCTCGGCTCCCCCGGCTCGGCCAGAGGGCCGGCCGGCCCCTCTCGAGCCGGCCCCGTCGGAGCCCGGAGCCCGCCGCCGCCTCCCGCCCCGCCCGCGCGGGCCTCGCTCGGGCTTCAGCCCGCGCGCTTCCCAGGCCTGCGCCCCGCCTGGCCGTGCGTCTGCTGGACACCGTGGTGCTCGTCCCTGTTTTGAAGAACTCCCACTAGGTCGTCACCAAAACCAAAAAATTTACCTTACTTCTTTATCCCCCCCCGCTTTTTGGGGGGTTCTTTGAGGCAGATTCTAAGAGCATCTTTTTGGGGGGCTATGCACTGATTTTTAACGTGGCTCGAGGGGAAGACGAGTGAGGAATTGAAATCTTTGTGAAATGGCGTGACACATTTCGAAAGAGAGTTTGACTTCTCTGTCGGCGTGGAACATGGATTGGGTTGATTTAGTCGCCGCACTGCTCCCTGCGCTGCTCCCTCCTCTGGCAGCAGGGCTTAAAAAATGGCTGCGTTTGCAATCAGGACTCAGGTAAACCTGAGTATATCACGGAAGAAAATTGCCTGACACTAGTAAACGGATGAAAGTTAATGCATTAGACATCTTTTCAACTTCTTCCTCTTGTGCTCACCCCTATCCTTAGGTCAAGCAAATATTTGGCATTCTGCAAGCATTCAGTGCATTTTTGTAGGATGTTTGAATCGTTCACCGCGTTCCCTATGAATCTTTATTCTTGGGTTTAATTCAGTTCTAACAGATGTTTATTTTGAACTCAGTATATGCAAGGCACTTTAACACTTATTTTCACTTCATACTCTGTCGGGCACTGTTTTACTCGCTTTATAGGAGGGGAACCCCCCCCAAAAAAAACCAAAACTGGAATTGGCTTATATAAAATAGTGTATTTATTCTTGACTTATTTAAACTCCAGTCGCCTTCAAAGGACTCTCTGTTTGATGCAATACCCCTATCAAGACACTTTTTCCACAACTCAAAACAGTTTTTGAACTTGTCAGTTTTGATGCCTTTTAGGCTTCTGCCGTTTTTTGTTTCAGCTCTTTCTCAAAGGCAGAACGTTTTCCTTTGAGGACTTTTTTCATTGGGAAACAAAAAAAAAGTAGCTCAAGGCGAGATGGGGGAATGGGAAGGTGGGGAGCGGGGTCATGCATTTTCGATCAAAACTGCTGAGCACTCAGTGTGGTGTGGGCAGATCACCCATCATGAAATGGGCAAACGTGTTGAAAGAATCTCTAAGAAGAATTCACTGATGCTGATGGGTTCCTGCAACACTTACCTAGTGGGGAGAACCTGTGCTACAAGGGGCTCGGCCTCCAAAAAAATATAATTTTTGGGGGGGAGGTCTCCCTTTTGTATATATTAGTGCATTTACTATTCACAACACTACAATAGGAACTGTACTATTTCCTGTTTTCTTTTTTTTTTGAGTTGGAGTCTCACTCTGTCGCCCAGACTGGAGTGCAGTGGCCACTCCCAGTCACCTCAGCCTCGACCTGCTGGGCCCTGGCGATCCTTCCGCCACAGACTTCCAAGGAGCTGGAACTACAGGCGCATGCTACCATACCCTGCTGATTTTTGATTTATTGTAGAGATGAGGTCTCGCCAACTTGCCCAGGCGGGTCTCGAACCCGCGGGCTCAGGCAATCCACTCACCTCAGCCCCCCAAAGCGCAGGATTACAGGCTGAGCCACCGAGCCGGCTTATTTCCTGTTTTCTAAGTGGTAACGATTTCTTTTTCCTAGTAGGTTGTGTAAATCAGGATAGGGCACTCTCCTTTTTGCCTTTCCCAGCTCACTCCAGTGGCCTTGGGTGACAGTTACACCAATTATAAAACCAGGGCATGCTGTTGTAAATACCACTGGCAGTTCAGGTGGAATTGCAGTGGGAAAGGTGGGAAGGGGTTTAGATTTGTGAAAATACATCTTGATCTGAGGATTGACAGTTGAAGTTATAACTTTTTTTCAAGTTAAAGTTATTAGTAGAGCCTGACAATATATCTGTTATTTTTCGTCCCACAGCACATTACACGATTTTAGTCATATTCGAAAATAGTTTGTTCATTATTAAATCAGCAGATATTTATTGAGAACTCACTAGGTGCTGGGGATAAAGCCATGAACACAGAGCCCATGCCTTTTTTTGGGGGGGGGGGGGTTTGTTTTTAATTTTTTAATTTTAAAGAGGTGGGGTACAGTTCAGGGTTAGGTATGCATATGCTCATTATGCGGGTACCCTTGTTGATGAGGTATGCCCCTCTTTCCCCAGGCAGATTCCCACTACTGCCAATCCTGCTTCTCCGCTCCCCTCCCGGCAGTTTCCCTGCTACTGCCAATCCTTTTCTTACGGTATTATGAAAATTGTTCAAGGTCTGCTTTTGAGTGAGAACATGTGATATTCGGTTCTTTGTTTCTGTGAAAGATCACTCAGTATTATAGACTCTAAGTCCATCCAGGTTGCTGTGAAGTTGATGATTTTGTTCTTCTTTATAACTGTGCAATATTCCATTGTGTATATGTACCATATTTTTTTTGGTCCAGCTCTCTTTTGATGGGCAGCACGGTTGGTTCCATGTTCTTGCTACTGTGAACAATGCTGTGATAAACATACATGTGCAGGTATCTTTTTTATAGAGTGATTTGAGTTCTTCTTGGTATATTCCCTGTAGGGGGATTGTGGGGTCGGATGAAAGGTCAATTTTTAGATCTCTTAGGAATCTGTTTTCCCCAGAGGCTGTACTAGTTTACACTCCCACCAACAGTGTAGAAGCATTCCCTTTTCATCGCGTCCTCTCCAGCATCTGTTGTTTTTTGAGTTATTGGTGATGGCCATCCTGACTGGAGTTAGGTGGTATCTCATTGTCGTTTTAATTTGCATTTCTTTGATGACTAATGAGGTTGAACATTTTTTCATGTGTCTGTTGGCTGCTGGTATGTCTTCTTTTGAGAACTATCTATTCATATCTTTTGCCCACATTGTAATGGGGCTGTTTGTTTGTTTTCTTTTTGGTACATTTGAGTTCCTTGTAGATCCTAGATGTTAGGCCTTTGTCAGACATACAGTTTACAAATATTTTTTCCCAGTCTATGGACTGTCTCCCTGCTCTCTTGATGGTTTCTTTGGCTTTGCAGAAGCTTGTCAGTTTGATGAGGTCCCTCTTGACTATCTTATCTCTTATAGCATGGGTGCTTGGGGTTTTGATCAGGAATTGGTTGCCGGTTCCAATTTCCAAGAGGGTATCTCCTGTATTTTCTAAGGTTTTTATAGTTGAGGTTTTACATTTAGGTCTTTGATTCATTTAGAGTTGGTTTTTGTGTATGGTGATAGGGATCGTGTTTTAATCTTCTGCATTTGGTCAGCCAGTTTTCCCAGCACCATTTAGTGAATAGGTTCTCCTTTCCCCAGTTGGTGGTGGTAGAGTCTTTGTCAAAGTTGAGTTGGTTGAAAAATTGAGGTTTTAAGCCGGGCTCGGTGGCTCAGCCTGTAATCCTGCACCTTGGGAGGCTGAGGTGAGTGGATTGCCTGAGCCCGCAGGTTCGAGACCCGCCTGGGCAACTTGACGAGACCTCATCTCTACAATAAATCAAAAAATTAGCCGGGCGTGGTTAGCGCGTGCCTGTAATTCCAGCTACTTGGAAGGCTGAAGTGGAAGGATTGCCGGAGCCCAGCAGTTTGAGGCTGCAGTGGCTGGGAGTGGCCACTGCACTCCAGTCTGGGCGACAGAGTGAGACTCCAACTCAAAAAAGAAAAATTGAGGTTTTGCTTCTGGAATCTCTGTCTTGTTCCATTGGTCTATGTGACTGTTCTTGTACCAATACCAGGCTGTTTGGATTATTGTAGCTTTATAATAGAGTTTAAAATAGAGTGCGATATCTCCTGCTTTGTTTTTTTTTTTTTTTTTTTTTGCTTAGGATTGTTTTGGCGATTTGCGGTCATTTATGTTTCCAGATGAATTCCTGTATTGTCATTTCCAGGTCTGAGAAGAATGCTGCTGATTATTTAATGGGTATTGCGTTAAATCTGTATATTACATTGGGTAGGATAGACATCTTAACAATGTTGATTCTTCCAATCCATGAGCATGGAATATTTTTCCATTTGTTTGTGTTATCTTGAATTTTTTTGAGCAGTGTTTTGTGGTTTTCATTGTAAATATCTTTCATGTCTCTGGTTGGGAGGATGCCAAGGTATTTGATTTTTTTTCATTCTCAGACCACAGTGGAATAAAAGTTGTGTATAAAAATGTGACTGTCTTTTGCATATTGATTTTATAGCCTGAGACTTTGCCAAAGTCCTTTATCAATGCAAGGAGATTTTTTGACAGATTCTCTTGGGTTTTCAAGGTGTAGAATCATGTTGTCTGCAAAGACGGATAACTTGAATTCACTCTTCCTGGGGGAAGAGTGTTCTGTGCAAAACAAACTGTAAGTGCCAAGGCCCTGAGTGGGCATCAGCTTGGTTTCAAGTGGCAGGAAAAAAAAATACAGGGTGATTGCTGAGGTTTAATGTATGAACTGCCAGTGTGGAGCGTGAGATGGGAGAATAAGGCAGAGGCTGACCATTTAGGGCTTTGTACACTGTTTGGGTTGAACTAGGAAGTCACTTTTAATCTCAAGCAAGAGCGTGTTCTGGTTTATGCTCTAGGATGGGGTTGGCAAATTTAAATTTCCATAACAGGTCAGACAATATTTTAGGCTTTGCAAGCCTCGAGGTCTCTGCAACTACCACTTGACCATGGTAGTGTGAAACTGACCACGTTATAAATGTAATAAGTCATAGGAATGAGGGTGTGTGGCTGGTTTTTTTTTTTGCTTTACATTCTGTCGTTTATTTTTAGAATTCTCACTTTTTAAAGTTGGGGTCCAGGTCGGGATTGGGAGCAAACGGGGTTTCGGGACAGGCAGAGTTTGGGCTTCCCACTGGACCTCGCTTTGCCTGGATGAGCATCAGGCGCCTTATCGATGCTGTGTGCCTTCTCTCCCCGGCAGGGCCCCACTACTGCCAACCCTTTTTTGGTGGAGTTCTGATCGGTGTTCAGGGCCTGCTTATGAGTGTGAACATGTGGTACTCAATTCTTGATTTTGCGATAGATCACGGAGTACAGTAGACTCCAAATCCATCCAAGTTGCTTTGAAGTCCGTAATGTTGTCCTTCTTTATGGCTGTGTAATATTCCATCGTGTATATGCACCGAATTTTTTTTTATCCAGTTCGGTTTCAGTGGGCAGCATGGTTGGTTCCATGTTTTTGCTGTTGTAAATAGTGGTGCAATAAACATGCGTGTGCGGGTATCTTTTTTGTAGAATGATTTGAGCTGACTGTGTTCTAATAAAACTTTACTTATGGATGCTGGTATTTGGATTTTGTATAATTTTCTTGTGTCATTAAATATTATGAGTGTTGGAGAAATGCAACAACATGGAGTAAAGTTTCAGCTCTTTCCGGGTGGCCAAAAATTATAATGATTAGGATTAAAAAGCATGAAACACTCAGATGTAAGGTGCTCTTGGTAACACAGCAGTGAGTGACCTTGTTTGAAAGGTTTTTAATGCATAGATGTTTCTTTCTGGAAAAATAAATGAGACTAACTCTGAAAATGTGTATGTAATGCATAGACTTCTTTTGAGTAACATGCTTTTCAGCTAATGGGCTCATTACTATGAACTGACCTTTTCTAACAAGGTTGCTTTGATGAATTCCAATTGAGTTCATCTGGTTTCACTTTTGAATAATCCAGATATATGAAAAGTTTCATGCTCAAACTCTTTAAGGAAAGATTTTTGGTTAAGGCAAAGATAATTTTAGGATATAGAGAACTTAAATTTATTTTGATAGTTTTGAGTGCATTTATAATTTTTTTTAAAATGGGGGTCTTACTCTGTCACCCAGGCTGGAGTATAGTGGCATGTTCACGGCTACTGCAGCCTTGACCTGCTGGGCACAGGTGATCTTTCTGCCTCATCCTTCCAAGTAGCTGGAACCAGGTGCATGCTGCCACACCTGGCTAATTTACTTTTGATTTACTGTACAGATGAGGTCCTGCCAAGTTGCCTAGGCTGGTCTCAAACTTCTGGGCTCAGGCAGTCCTCTCCCCTCTGCTGGCCAGAGTGTTGGGGTTGCAGATGTGAGCCAAAGCTCCCAGCGAGTGTTTTTGTAATTAAAAAAACACCTTTTAAAATGCTTTTTTCTGGGGGAGAGGGTTTTTATAGACTTTCTGGGGTAGTAGAGAAGTACACCATCCATCACTGTGTACCAGGGCATGCAACTTTTATCTGTCATATTACTGAATCTGACTGGAATGGAATAGTTAGTGTGTGTGTCAGCAATATGTAGCATCTGATGTTTATAAATTACTATCACAGTAGGTTTATGATATAGTCACATGTAAGTGGGAATGAATTGTAAAACTCAAATGTCTTAGGGAGCAGAGATAGAATGGTTTTAATATATTTATTTTTAAAGTAGCAAGTTTTTCCAAGGGATATAATTATAGTGAAACATTTCTTTCAAATACTACATTTTATGAAGATAACACTCAAAATCATTTGTTTATTACTTTAGATTGAATTTGGTGACACAAAAGATAAAGTGCTGGTGTTTTTCAAGCTGCGTCCTGAAGTAATTACTGACGAAAATCTACATAATAACATTCTTGTTTCGTCTATGTTAGAGTCACCTATTAGTTCTCTTTACCAAGCAGTACGGCAAGTATTTGCACCTATGTTGTTAAAGGTGAGTAAGTAGCTTTCAAGTCATGCTTTTTCTTTAACCTAGGTATTTGGATGAGTTTTTTCATACATACAAACATAAATATTTATTCTTTCATTTATTGTTAATGTCATTTATATTTTAATTTTTCATTAAAATATTTTCTCAACGTTTAATTGTAAAGTAAACTTTGTTGACAAATAGAGAAGTTGGAAAAAGATATAAAATGCAGTCCATATTAGCTCTTAAATTTCTGTAGTTAATGATCTTTATAACATTTTAACTATTGAGAGGACTTTTTATTTTCCATTGGAATGGAGGTAGTGGCAGACTTTAAGCCAAACAGTGATATTTGATTTAGTTGTTTAGACAGTGTTTTAGGTAGCCAATTTGATTAGCAATATTTTGATCAATGATTTCTCTTATTTGTTTTTATTTAGGATCAGGAATGGAGCAGAAATTTTGATCCTAAACTTCAGAATCTTTTGAGTGAACTAGAAGCTGGTTTGGGTATAGTTTTACGAAGATCAGACACTAACTTATCAAAACTGAAATTTAAGGAAGATGATACACGAGGTATATAACTATAGCCTAATAAAGAATGTACAAAATGAGTGTTTCACTAGTATGTAGTGAATAAACATATTTCTTCATAGATTTATTTCCATGCTTCTAAAATGTCTCTGAACATAAGCTTTCTAAAACTAAGTAGATTTATATAGATTTAGATAAAAGGAAAGTGTACTCTTTAACAATGTATAATTTGTGAAAATAGAAAATAAAGCTGATTCTCATTTGTAAAGTCACTATGAACACTGAATTAACAAATATTGAACCTTTGCTCCTAGGGGAAATGCAGGGTTAGATTCCTTTGAGCCTCTGGCATAACATTTTGTCAATTGATCAGTACATAACCTTTTTGTGTGTGTTTCTGTTTAAAGACACTTTAATTAATATGTGTTCTGATTAATTAACATTGACTTCATGGCCACCAGCACTGTAACTCACACCTGAAAATGAAGCTTGTCTAACACACATGTTTTCTCTGTAAGGCACATTACAACCTTCTTGTGCTTAGGAATACCAGGTAGCAATTTAGCACTATGTTTAGGGGCCATTTTAAACAGAAAAATCACGAACAAAAAGTATAAAAATGTGACCAGTGTGGCACTAAATAGACCACAAGATGGACCGGACACTTGTTTAAGTATGAGATAGGAAACAGGAATGTAGTGTCAGCTCCTTTGACCTCAGCTAGGAGCCTATGTGTCAGATTACTCAAATTATCTGCTGCTATGATATTTTGTGTCAGTTTTCTTCTCTGATGTTCTGTGTCCTTTTTTTCCCCTCTTCACTTTTATAGGAATTCTTACACCAAGTGATGAGTTCCAGTTTTGGATAGAGCAAGCTCATCGTGGGAGTAAACAGATTAATAAAGAGCGAGCCAGTTATTTTAAAGAATTATTTGAAACAATTGCAAGAGTATGTGATTCATACATAGTTATATATTAGGCTTCTTATAAAAGTATTTTAGTTTTCAATTTTCACTACCTTTTCCTCTGTTTTAAAATCTGCTTGATAATTGTGAACAAGATACTTCATATGTAGAAGTGTTTACTTAAGACATATATTTAAAGTGAGTGCAATATGGGAATCCAGAATTTAAATTTTAATCTCTAGAAAATGCTTTTCTCAGAAACAAAATCACTTTTCTGCAACTATGTATTGGAAAACAGAAATCTAACCATACTAACAGAGGTTTATCCATGTATAGGTAATGTTGTTCTTTTGAAAGAATGCTTACTTTATTCAAATTGACATTTTGAAGAAATGACTGAAATATGGGAAGTTGTAGTTTTACACTTATTTGATTATTTCTTGACGTATCTATATCAAGACCAAATAAGTGAACATTTTAAGTATGAGTACTAAAAGTCTATTTTCTTCAAAACAAATATGTCTTACTTTTTATTAGTTTCCACTGTTATTTCAGTAATATCATTTTAGTGGCATGTTTGAAATGGTTTCAAGCTCTTTTTTGGTAGCAGTGATTGCATGCAGTAGCCATCCTCAACCTTTTTGACATCAGGGACCGGCTTCATGGAAGACAGTTTTTTCACAGAGTGGGGAGTGGGGTTCAGGGATTATCAGGCATTAGATTCTCATAAGGAGCGCACAACCTAGATCCCTCTCCTGTGCAGTTCCTGTGAGAATCTTTTGACAGAAGATCTGACAGAAGATAGAGCTCTGCTCACCTGCCACTCACCTCATACTGTGCGGACCGGTTCCTAACTGGCCATAGACCGGTACCCATACGCATCCTGGTAGTTGGGGACCCCTGACATATAGTGTAATAAGCCTTGGACTGTGGTTGCATTATTGTTAACTATAACATTAGGCAGCACAATAAATTAATGAGTGAAGACACTAGGACTCCAGTGGGTAACATATATGTGGAGTTGAGGCCACCTCAAATGGGTATATTAAAAAAAAAATCCAGATTTAAAGAAAATTAGGCCAAGTGTATGAATAAATGAATAGACTTTTTACAATTCTTACTTCTTCTCTGACTTTCACGATATTTATGTTTGTGAAGGAACTTGTAGGCATTTGCATAGAGAAGTAATGATCATCTGTTAGAAAAAGGTGAAGAAAATAGTATGGCAAATATTAGGTTGGTGGCAGAAGAAAAAGTCTGGGGACATTGTGACTAGATTACCCGAGGAACAAGTATGATTATGTGTAAAAACGGATGCATTTTTATTTTAGGACTTTTGTAACTTGGACAGTCTTTCCTTGTTAGAAGTTGTTGACTTGGTGGAGACTACTCGTGATGTTGTAGACGATGTGTGGAGACAGACAGAACATGATCATTACCCTGAGGCACGGATGCTGCATCTCTTAGACGTCATAGGTACTAGAAAACAAATGAAATTTTTGAAGTTTTGTTCTTTAAGCCCTTACTTAAGAGTCTCCTTCATATAATAATAGGTATTTAAAGTAACTCTTAAAGCAAGTCATCCAGTATGACTTGAATAGATACTTACAGATATAGTTGGCTAATTTAAATCATGTATCTAATTCTCTGACCATTAATAGAACTTAGTTTATATAGATTTTTTATACATATATTAATTTAGACTTTAAATGAACTGAAAAAGTATTTAAAATGAACTGAAAAATGAACTGAAAAATTATTTAAAAATGAACTGAAAAATTATTTAAAATGAACTGAAACATTATTTAAAAATATAGTGAGTTGTCTGTCAATATTAAAAATTTTGACCTAGAAAATACCCTTCTTATTGCTCTCCTCAGGAAATATCAGCTAAGTACATAAAGTTATATGTACAAGGATATTTATTGCAGCATTGTTTGCAACATGAATAAAAATAAATAGCAATTGTGAATTGTTTATGCAATGCAATATCCATACAGTAGGCTCTGTAGCCTAAAATAGATTGTATGTGTATTCTGCACTTATAAGGCATACATGATATGTTGAAAGATGCAAAAATGTAAACCAATATGTGTGTGTTTAAGAAAAATATTTGTTACTGAAAGTGCTAGTCTAAGGATGTGCACATATTTCATAGATCCTTAGATTGCTCATTTGTATATTTTTTAACTTTATTATAAACATGTATTTTATATTCTGTAGAAAGTCATTTATTTTCACTAAAATCTTTGCTTTATGTCTTATTAGGTGGTTCATTTGGAAGATTTGTTCAGAAAAAATTGGGAACTTTGAACCTTTGGAAAGATCCTTATTATCTTGTGAAAGAAAACCTAAAAGCTGGTATTTCAATTTGTGAACAGTGGGTGATCGTCTGTAACCATCTAACAGGTCAGGTGTGGCAACGCTATGTTCCTCATCCATGGAAAAATGAAAAATATTTCCCAGAAACACTTGACAAACTGGGCAAACGCCTTGAAGAGGTATCGGTTTGATTATCTGGACTTTTGTTTTAAAGGGTAAAGTGGGTCTTTACTTGTTTGTGAATACATTTCATAATTAACAAGCACTACATATCTGCTATGAATTATTTACAGTTTTGTGAGAGTATAAGAGTTAAACTTCACATGGAATAATTTATGGCATAGTGCCAGGCGCACATGGGCACTACGTGTTAATTTCTATATCCTTTCTTTTTCTTTGGCGTATGACTGGTCACCTTGTTACTTGTGAACTTTTATTTTGTTGTTTGTTGTAAAAAAGACCCATTTGTCCATGTGTGGAAACTCTCAGACATTCCCTATTGAAATTGTTTTTAAGTAGGGATGGCTTTTTATGGGGTACTCATTGGAAATTCTTGAAACAACTACTTAATTTACACAAGTTATGAGTTTCAGTGTAGAACTTATATGTTTAGCTTTTAGGGACAGGCAAGTTGAGATTACTTAAAGGTTGCAAAGCATCTCTAGAATTTTTTAAACCTTTTTGTCATGGAATACTCCAAACATATGTGAAAGTAAAATAGTATAATGAATGTCCGTATATTCACCACTCAGTTTCAACGGTCATTGGCATTGTTCAGTTCTTGTGTCATCTTTTTCTTTCTTGCCTCCCTTTTCTTTTGCTAGAGTACTTTTATTTTTGAGACAGGGTCTCATATTGCTTAGGCTGGTCTTGAACTCCTGTCCTCAAGTGATCCTTCTATCTCAGTCTCCCAAAGTGCTGGGAGTACAGGTGTGAGCCACTCCACCCAGCCGTTGCTGGAGTATTTTAATTTTTGTTCTCTTTTATTTTTTAGAGATGGTATCTTGCTCTGTTGTCCAGGTTGGAGTGCAGTGGTATGATCATAGTTTATTGCAACCTAGACTTCCCGGATGCAAGTGGTCCTCCTGCCTCAGCCTTCTCAAAAGCTAGTACCTCAGGTGTGTGCCACTGTGTCCAAATAATTTTTAAATTCTTTTTATAGAGATGGGGACTTGCTATGTTGGTCTTGCTATTTTGGTCTCAAAATCCTGGCCTCAAGTAAGCCACCTACTTCACCCTCCCAAGTATTGTGAATATAGGTGTGAGCCACCATGCCCAGCCTGGAATATTTTTAAAGCCAAGGTAGCATATGCTTTCATCCTTAAAACATAACCACGATACCATCGTCATACCCAACAAAGTGACAATAATTTCTTAGCATTTTGTTTTTAACTAGTGGTTATTTATCTTGATTTTTCTCAGAAATTTAAAAAAATAATTGATTTTCTTAAATGAGGTTGCAAATAGGGTCCACAGATTGCATTTGTTGACATGTCTCTGGAGTCTCTTTTAATGTGAAAGTTTTTCCTTTTCATACCATATAACATTTCCCATCTTTTGGATTTTTCTTTTTATGTTCTTTTTTTTGTTTTGTTTTTGAGTTGGAGTCTCACTCCATCACTCAGACTGGAGTGCAGTGGCTGCTCCCGGCCACTGCAGCCTCGACCTGCTGGGCTCCGCCGATCCTTCCACTTCAGCCTTCCAAGTAGCTGGAACTACAGGCACGCGCTACCACGCCTGGCTAATTTTTGATTTATTGTAGAGATGAGGTCTCGCCAAGTTGCCCAGGCGAGTCTCGAACCTGTGGTCTCAGGCAGTCCACTCACCTCAGCCTCCCAAAGCGTAGGATTATAGACTGAGTCACTGAGCCCGGCTTCTTTTTATGTTCTTATACTGTTTTACATGTTCCTGTCTCTCCCATTTTTTTCTTAATTACTATTAGCTACAGAGCCCTGCTTAGATTAAGATTTTTTTTGGTAGTATTATGTAGACTCATGAATTTTTATGTGTTTCAGTCTATTGTGGTTATTATTGTTATACTCAAATTGTTCTGTCTTTGAGCAGGAAGTGCCTATCCAAGTTGGCTCCTGTGTCATTTTGGTGCAACTCTAGTATTTCTTTGATAACTTTTAGGCCCAACATATTCCAGCCTAGCCTATCTTGTACATTTTCTGTCTCATACTTAGAATTAGTTTTTTAAAGAGCCTGGTTCTTTTGGTGGGAAATGGTACTTAGCAACATCTTCATATGGAAAGTGCTGTTACTTAGTTATTAATGCCATTAGGCCTTCTTAGTAGACAGAATTATTAAAGAACTTTTTTTAAAAGTAAAAGTGAGGGAAAAATAAATTATGAGGTCATACTGATTTTCCAACTCAAATGAAAGAAAGATAAGAGCATTTTTACTTAACCTTTTTCTTTGGATTGTTGGTGGGAAGTTTAGTTCAAAATACATTGATATTTATTTTCTAGCTGTTTGTAAATTATAAATAATAGAGCTGTTAACATGCAATTTCATTATTAGAAGTGTAATTTAATGCAGAATAATGAAAATCAGAAGTTATTGCTAACTCTCAAATTGTACTTAACTGAGCTTTAAGTACAGTTTAAACTATTTAGATCTTATGTATTTTCACTAGATTTGAGCACAGGGATTAATATTAGTGTGATGATACTGTTATATCTTTGAGGATCACTTTGTTGTTGTTAAGTGGTAATTCTCACGATTATAGTTTCAATTTTATTATGTAGACAATAATAACAAACCTAGCTTATAGAAATTCTTGCCTAATATCTTTAGATTCTAGACCTATTTATGTGGCTTTTTGATTTAAACAAATTTTATTTTTTCAACATTTATGTTTTAGGTCTTGGCTGTTAGAACAATTCATGAGAAGCTTCTCTATTTTTTACCTGCCAGTGAAGAGAAAATCGTGTGCCTGGCTCGAGTATTTGAACCTTTTACTGGCCTGAATCCTGTGCAGTATAATCCATATACTGAGGTTGACTATACTTATGTGTGTGTGTGTGTGTGTGTGTGTGTGTGTGTGTGTGTGTGTGTGTGTTTATATAATTTCCTGTTCATGTTCTTTTACAAAGCAGATTTAAAGTAATTGAAGTCTAACAATATTTTTAATGTGTTTAGCCTTTGTGGAAAGCTGCAGTGTCTCAATATGAAAAAATTATTGCACCTGCAGAACAAAAAATAGCAGGAAAATTGAAAAATTATTTTTCAGAAATTCAAGACAGTCCACAGCAGGTAAAGTATTAAAACACTTCACCTTTACTATTTCCCTTAAACTATTTTAGGAGATATATTTGTATTTACTGAGTCAATCCATTGGTATGAACATACATTTATTCTATTTTCTATTAGCTTCTTCAAGCATTTCTGAAATATAAAGAGTTGGTGAAGCGTCCAACTATAAGCAAAGAATTGATGTTAGAACGAGAAACTTTACTGGCAAGACTTGTGGATTCAGTTAAAGGTAACTGTATCAGAGATTAGAGTGTTTGCTTCAGAAAGCACTTTTGTAGATTGTTTTTCTTTTTGCATACCATTTATGATTAAGATTACATTTTATGACATTTTAATGCTGAAGATTGATTTTCTTATTTCTCTTATAAATAATGTATTTTTTGAGCTAACAGGGTATTTTCTTTCTCTGTCTCAGTTGATACATGGTAAGGTTCTTGAGGGTAGGGACAAACTTTTATTATTTTTTTGTTCACCTTTTATATAGTGCTTTGTCCATGGAAGCATTTAGGAAATCTTTGCAATCATTTATTTGATTTAACTTTTATAGATTTTCGATTAGACTTTGAGAATCGGTGCCGAGGAATTCCTGGTGATGCATCTGGACCACTTTCTGGCAAAAATCTTTCAGAAGTTGTCAATAATATAGTTTGGGTTCGTCAGTTGGAGTTGAAGGTATTTGTTTCAATAAAAGTTGAAAAATACTAATTATAAAATGTGCTAAATTAAGGCATGTAGAAGTCAGTCGAGCTGTAGTAAAAATATTCTCCATTTTCCTTGGCATATCCATTGAATTTTTATGTGAAATGTAGAAGGCTGAAAAAGTATGCAGAGAAGGTTTTAATGGTTCTATTCATTTCTTCTCAGAGATAATCAAATCATTTATTCCAATTGCAGTTGTTTCAGGCAAGTACCTTTATTCAAAAGGATAGGATTTTTTACATTGTGTTAAAAAGAAAAACTCATTGTAGTAGTTGCAAAGTCTATTTGCCAGCATGTTTATATAACTAAATCTTGAAGGAAAGTTAAAGGAAAGGTGAAAGATAACTATTGCATTGTCTAAGGTAGTGAGAGCAATTTATAGATTTAAAATGCTATTATTTTAATATTTTTAAATTGTTAAAATTGGCCTCAGACTCTTATGGAAGTGCTGATTAGTATGTGGTATAGTGTCTTGCACTTGACTTGTACAATAAATGTTTTAATTATAGTCTGATCAAGAGCAAGAACTCATAGACTATTACAAAAGCTAGCTGTAGTTCTGGCTACTTGGAAGGCTAAAGCAGAAGAATTGCCGGAGCCCAGCAGGTTGACGCTGGGGTGGCCGTGAGTGTGCCACTGCACTCCATCCTGGGCAATGGAGTGAGACTCCAACTCAAAAAAAAAAAAAACCAAAAAACTAGCATCTTGGATAGTTCTACATATTCAAGATTGTACTTTTGATGCTTTATTTTCTGGCATATTCTGCCTAATGATTTTGTCAGTCAGTTTTTCAGGGTGCTATAAAGTTCTTTGTATAGTTGTAGAGGAAAGGCATTTATCTCTTAATTGACATTCCAATTGGCCTAGTTATTGTTTGAGCTATGGATCAGGGCATTTAGCTAAGGAAAAATTATTGCTTAACATGTTTAGTAGTATTGCTGAAGTTATCAGCATTTCCTCTAAAAATTGGTGGGGCACAAGTATTTTGAGACTGGATTTTTCCTTAACCCTGTATTTTACCCTTTAAATTATGTTGTGTAGTGTTATCCTTTTGTGTTTTGTTATTCTGAGACTGTATAATTAAGAAGCACAAGTAGGGGCTGCTGCTCTTTGGCAAGTCTTCTGATTTATTCTTTATAGATGATAGGGAAAACAATTTCTGAACCACACACTATAGGAAGGAGCTTATTATTTTATGCTGATTTTGTTAGAATTTAAATAATGTATATCCTTGTAACTTAACTTTTTAAGGTAGACGACACTATCAAGATTGCAGAGGCTCTTTTATCTGACTTGTCAGGATTTCGATCTTTCCACCGAAGTGCTGAAGATCTCTTAGACCAATTTAAACTCTATGAACAAGAACAGTTTGATGATTGGTCCAGGGATATTCAGTCAGGTTTGTCTGATTCCAGATCTGGTTTGTGGTAAGTATGAATGTAATAAACTGTACAGTCCAAAACCATGTGTTATTAATCCAAATGGCAACATGGATTATTCATCTTTCTCCTTTCTCCAATTTGCTGCTCCTTTTTTAGTTTTTGTTTGTGATCATCAACTGTAAGTCATTAACTAACGGTTATTGATGGTATGTACTGATAACTGTTAGTTAATTGCCTCCCCCTTGTTTCTTGTGTCTGTGCCCCAGATCTGCGGGTTCCCATTTTGGAATTAGGCTTTTCCTTCCTTATGGTTTTTTTCTTATTGGTATTCATGTATGTATTTCTGTCCTTTAAAGTTAATATTTTATATATATATATATACTCTTTAAACTGTCAAATTGTATTAATTTTAAACTCCTTAAGAAGGAGTATTTCTTCATGATGTCCATCTTAGTAAGGCTTTGATAAATATTTATTGAGCTATAGTGAATGTATTAATTGGTTAACCTCATTAATTTTAATGGGGATTTAAAATGGATGGTCTAAAAAACCCATTGTTTCTTTGTACCTCAGGTCCACTGTTCATAAGTTTTTAGAAACTTATCATGTCTTTTCTTTAAGATTTAGCTTTTATTTTTTGAGACAAGGTCTTGCTCTGTTGCCCTGACTGGAGTGCAGTGGCCTGATCATAGATGTTTACAGTCTCGAATTACTGAGCTCAAGTGATCCTCCTCGCTTCTTGAATAGCTAGGACTTCAGGAGTGCTCCACCATGCTTGGATAATTTTTAAACATTTTTTTTTTTTATAGAGTCTTGCTATATTGCCCAGGCTGGTTTCAAACTCCTTATCTCAAGTGATTTTCCCAGCTCTGTCTCCCAAAGTGCTGGGATTACAGGCATGAGCTACTGTGCCCAGTTATCATGCCTTTTTAAAAAGTAACTTTGTCTATAATATGAAGTTCTGTTTGTTTCTCCTGTAGTGCTACAAAGGAGAATAAGGCCAAATGTGGTGCCTCTCAAATTGAGTGGATAATTGTTTTTATAAATTTAGAATTCTGGCTCTGGAGGAAGAATAGAGGGAACCTGTTGGTGCTAGGGCGTAATGATGATAATTTTATGCCGTTTGGCTGTTTTGAGCCTAAAACACGAGAGATGCTCCAGGCCAAAAAAGAAACAAAGCCCTTTAGTCGAATGATTTTGGAGAATGTGCAGACTCTCTCATTGTAGCTCTGCTGGAGATCCAGAGGTGTGCCCATATCCCAAGGGTCTGAGATCTACTGTTGAGAAACCTGTTTAACTTTGTGCTACACAGTGTCTCCCATTTGGCAGTGAAATTCCCCTCCTCCTGCTTTTTTTTTTTTTTAACTGTAAAATCTCTAATTGTCCCATAGAATCATCAGTCTGTTTTTGAGCACATTTTGGAAATGCTGGCATACACAAACTAATTCTGAAGATAAAGGCAGAAAGAGTCACTGTCGTGTCCTGACAAGTGTTATGTGTATGTAGGAAAGTTTGGGCTAAATCATCATTTAAAAATATCGACTTTAGATTATGCTTTGCTTTGTGTGCTATTAAATAGGCCAAATAGATTTCTTATTTGCTTTTTAGTAGGTTATTTATTTTTTTGAGTTGGAGTCTCACTTTGTCACCCAGGCTGGAGTACAGTGGCACAGTCATGGCCACCCCAGTGTTGATCTGCTGGGTTTCGGCAATCCTTCCGCCTCAACCTTCCAAGTAGATGGAACTACAGGTGCACGCTGCCATGCCGGGCTAATTTTTTGACATATTGTAGAGACGAGGTCTCCTACATTGCCCAGGCTGGTGTCCAACCTGCAGGTTCAGGCAATCCTCTCATCTTAGCCCCCCAAAGGGCTGGGATTACAGGCTTGTGCAACCATGCCCGGATAGTAGGTTACTTTTTAAGACTTGAAAATTTTCTTAATTGTGAAAGTGATGTGAAAGAATGAGCATGATAGAAACCTAACCCTAAGGGAAGGAGATTTAAGCATGACACCTGATGCTGAATTCAGTCCAGTGTTTCCCCTATGCATGATGATTTGAGTACCTCAGAGTAATGTTTGCTGTACTAGCTTTTATTAGAAACACAGGGAAAGAATGACTATTAGGTAGTGAAACAAAAAATAGAGAAATGAAATATTTGAATATGTCTGCTACTGCAATTTTGATGTCCTGTATCATTGATCTTTTAATAAAAGCTTAAAAAATCTAAAGTACCTTTACAAAATGAATCAAGATCTTTTTTCTTTATAGTGAATACGATGTCATTTTTAAGTGTTAGCTTACAGTGAAGAGATTGACTTTTCTAACTTTAAAACTGCTTGGTTGAGATATTAGTGTGATGATATATTTTGCATATTGCAATTTGTTTTCAAAATTTGTATTGTCAGATAATATATGAAAAAAAACACAACTTGACAGCGCCAATTAAACAGTTTTTTAAATTTTGAGTTAATACAATATTTTCTGTTTTATAACAAAAAAGTTGTAAAAACTGTTTTTTTTTTAGTCAAAAGAGTGGGATATAAAACTTAAGAGGATATTTATTTTGTTTTGTAGTATTGAGGCTAATAGTCGAATTATGGAATTAGATCCTATTGATGGCTCCTTAAAAGTACATTATTCAGATCGTTTGGTGATTCTTCTGAGAGAAGTTCGTCAGCTTTCTGCACTTGGCTTTGTTATTCCAACCAAAATACAACAAGTTGCAAACATTGCACAGAAATTCTGCAAGCAAGCAATTATTCTCAAACAAGTATGAAGTCACATTTTTTGAAAACCTGCCTGTTCTGAGTTTGGTTCATTAAACTAGAATATGTTAAGGGCTTTGTTTTTTTTTTTTGTTTTTTTTTTTTACTTTTTTTGGGGAACGGGGGGTGCTAATAGAATAAGCATTGCCAGTTCTTGTGAAATTATGGTTTTGCTAAATGACAAAATATACAGTGTAGGAATTTATTAATGTATGGTATTTTTGTTCATTCTAAATGCCTTTTGAAAATAAAATATTATTCTTTTTTTCTTTCTTCTTTCATATTACTTATGAGTTTTAAAGGACCTTCTAAATAAAGTGTCATCTTTCTCCCTTCTAGGGGCAGATTCTTGAAGAATTGCCAGGCTGATGAATTAGTCTGTTTCTAGTCATTTCCTTAGTCTACCTGTTTGCACATTGCCATCATGTCATTTCCTTGTTTAAAACCAACTTTTATTATAGATCTTCAGGAAGTCCTGTGAAAGCATAGAATTTAGGGAATTTTCAGTTCTTGTCCTGAAAGGGGTAGAATTAGTACCAGGTAAATCTTTTCAGAGGATTGATGTTTGATGTGCGTCAGGAAGAGTATACATGGGTTTTTCTCAAGTGCACAAGGCATTGGGTGATTATTTCATTTGGAGTGACTAAATCAAAAGCAGAGTCTTGTTCACTTTTGTATCCTGTGTGTTTAGTCTGACCCAATAGGAGCTAAAAAAGAATGAATGATCATATAGTATTTGTAAATTTCCTTGGAAGAACACTGGAAAATTTGCTTATTTATACCTTTATTTATGAGTGCATATTTAGCTGAAGTAGAGAATTTAAAGGATTATAGAATGTTGGATAGATAGCCATATGCCAGGTTGCTATAATAGTATGCATTTGGTTGCTTCCAGTTTTTCTGACTGTGCCTTTTCTGGGCCTACTTTTGTTGCACACAATAAGGAGGGTGGGTATTCCCCACCGAGTAAAGTGTATCTTCATGCATATTAATGGAAAGAAGAGGACTCTGTAAAATTATTTATTTTATCTAATATTTGTTAGCACCTACTATGTGCCAATAATGTCCTTGTTTGTCCACCACTGTCCCTCATAGGTCCCTATTTATTGATTCATAAACTAATTCAAGAAACATTTATTGAATCCTTACTGTTTGTTTGGCACTGTTTTTAAAGCTGTCATTCCCATAGGAGAGGCTGGTAGCACACACATATATTTGTGATACAATGTTAGGTAGTGATAAGTGCTTTGAAGAAAAATGAAGCAGAATAAAGAGACATGACAAGGACTGCTATTTTATGTAGAGTGATCAGGATAGGCCTTGATGAAGAGGTAATATTTGAGAAGAAACATAATGTTTTGTGAGCATGAGAACCATGTGATGAGCTAGAGGAAGACTATTCCAGGCAGAGGGAATGACAGATGCAAAGTTCCTGAGGAAGCTGCTCTTGTGAGGCTAGAGTCACAGCAAAGAGGCCAGTTTGGCTGCAGTGCAATGACGGAGGGTTTTGTGGTGGAAAAGGGCCGGTTGATGTAGAATCTTATATGCCAGGGTAAGGCCATGTGCTTTGTATTTGAAAGAATGAGCATTTAGAATTTATTCTTTAGTGTATTAGGAAACCATTGAAAGATTTTTAGGTAAGAGAAGAGTTTTGGAATTTTGGATTTTATTTTCAATTCTACTCGGAAATCACTAGGTTTTGAGTAGGCAAGAGGTGTGATACATGTTTTAAAAACACCACTCTAGCTGCCTTGAGTAGACTGTAGGAGGACATGATTGGAAGCAGGGAGAGCCATTAGGAGACTGTTGCACTGGTCTTCCTGAGAGATGAGGGGGCATGGATTGGAAGTGATTGACGGAGGAGGAGAGGTGAAGTGGTCGAATTCGGGATACATTTGAAAGGATCGGCAGTAGGTTTTTGCGGGCATGGGATGTGAGTGTTGAGAGAACTCAGAGAACTTTTGGTCTGAGAAATGGGTAAATCATTGTGGAATACGCTGAAAAAGGAAGGGGTCAGGTTTGCAGAAGTTCAGAAATTGAGAATTCAGTTTTTTACCACTTAACATGATATGTTGGGTTTCTTCCTTCCTGTGAGACTTGGTTGCAGGGACAAAGTTTTATAATCTTTGTTTATTCCGCTCTCAGGATGTGGTTAGCAAATTATAGGAACTCAACACATATGTGTTGATTGTGTATATTAATACATGAATAAATGTTATATTGGAGGTGAAAAAAACTTTTCTGTTTTAATCTTGGGATTGAGAAAAGTTAACATTTCCATTCAAACAATTAAAAATGAAGAAAAATTAAAACAAGAATGAAATGTTATTTATTATCAGTTGTTGCTAATTGGACTTTCACTTTGTAGGTGGCACATTTTTATAATTCTATTGATCAGCAAATGATTCAAAGTCAGAGGCCAATGATGTTACAATCTGCGTTAGCATTTGAACAGATAATTAAGGTAAATGACTTCTTATTTTATTATAATTAGATTTTACATGTGAATTATTTCAGATTTCTTAGTTTTTCAGTATATCCTTCAGCTTAACATAGCCATCATCTAGACTTAATTTTGCTCCCTATTGACTTCACTTTTTTTTTGGAAAGCAGGATTTATTGAGAGGACAGAAAAGCTCCTACAGTGGAAGGGGACCTGAGGGGGTTGCCTGACTTCCTTCACTCTTAAGTCAAATTTTTTTCCAAATGCAAATGGTTATAATGTTTTATTCATTTTGGTACTAATTTTGATCAGTTGCACTAATATTGATAGTATATGATTGGTTCGCCATTTTATTTATTTATTCACTGAAATTTGAGGTTCCTTGGTGCTTTTTCATCATCTCCAAAGTTTGTCATTTAAGATGTATTTGCTCTTTATTTGTGCTTATTTAAATGTTCATGCATATTGAAACACAATTGTGTTTAAACTGAATGTTACCATGTGAGTACTGACTTCAAAATCTGTATTTTTGATCTTCATAGACATGAAATATTTGAAAAAAGTAAGTAGCAGAGCAATATACCCTTTTATGGCTTTATTTGAAAATGGACAACTAGTTGTGTTAGGGTCTTCAAGACCATCCCAGGCTCTATGATTTGCCATGAGGACTCAAAGTCGTACTCATAGCAGTATTTCTTACAGTGAAGGGACAGAGTAAAATCAGCAAAGGGAAATGTACATGGGGTCCCAAGAAACCAAGTGCAAGATTCTGAGAGTCCTCTCCCAGTGTAATCACACAGAGCATGCCGAATTCCTTCAACAATGAATTGTAACACATAAAATGTTGTCTTATTAGGGAAGATCATTAGCGACTCAACACCCAGGTTTTTACCGGGGACTGGTTACATAGGCACCTTCTGCCTAATACATACCAAAATTCCAGACTCCCAGAAGAAAGGCAAGTATTCTGCATAAACCATATTATTCAGGTTCAGTGAGCTACTCCTATCAGGGTAGTGAGAATCCTTCTGAAATCTAAGTTCCCAGATGCCAGCCAGGGGCAGTCTTTTAAGTATTTCAAAGGGTAGTATTTAAACTTGCTGTGTTAATTTTTTCCTGCACACTAGTTCTCAGGCTTAATATTTACTAGCATTTATATAATTCATATTTTAGATGTTATTAAAAACACTTTTTTTCTTGTTGCCAGAGAGTAACATGAGTTCATAATGGAAAGTTAAAAAAATACTGATAAACAACAACAAAATGGCATATAAGCATACCGCAAAGAAATACCCACTTTAAAAAGTCTGATGTATATCCTTTTGAATTTTTGTCCATACATATTTTTGAAAATGTATGTTTTTGAAAACTAGATAATACTCTATTATTTTTGACCTTTTTTCAGTGAATATATAGATTGTTTTAATTATAAACTTTTACAGCTTTTTCTTCTCTGGTAAATTTATTTAAAATTATATCTGAGCCGGGCTCGGTGGCTCAGCCTGTAATCCTGCGCCTTGGGAGGCTGAGGTGAGTGGATTGCCTGAGCCCGCGGGTTTGAGACCCGCCTGGGCAACTTGGCGAGACCTCATCTCTACAAAAAAATCAAAAATTAGCCGGGTGTGGTAGCGCGCACCTGTAGTTTCAGCTACTTGGAAGGCCACCGCACTCCGGTCTGGGCGACAGAGTGAGACTCCAACTCAAAAAAATAAAAAATAAAATAAAATTATATCTGCTGGTATTTATGAAGAGGAAACTTATTTTGTGAAAATTGTGTTGTGAGAAGTAAATAATCATATTTAATATAAGTTAAATGAGACATAGTAGTAGCTAAAACACTAAGGCAGGAATAGCGTAGAGAGAATGTTACTGACAATCAGTGGACGCTGCCGTATGCATAGAGGCCAATACCGTGACACAGGCTTTGGAGCAAAGCAAGGCGGTGTTGAGTGTACTGACAAGGAGACCGAGGGAATGCTTAAATCTGTGTCCCTGAGCTGGGGTTTGGGCTAAGCTATATAAGCATAGGGCAGTGAAGTGTGATTTGATTGGATCTTGCCATAAGGTGACACCGGAGCTGGATCTGACTGGATCCTGGATCCTGCTGTGTGCTATTTGCTTCTTGCTTTAGTCCTTGCTCCTTTATCTGGGCACTTAAGTTCCCTCTGTAGTTACACACTTGTTCACCTGGGTGTGCTCAGGTTTCCTGACCTTCAAACTGGGGAGCCATGGCAACTAAAAAAAAAACTCAACTTTGTTATGTAAAAGTTGAACCAGATTGGTCTGGTGCAGTTGCAAGAGCCCTAGGGTTCTTTGTAATCCTCTGACCACTCACTGTATTGTAGAAAGTCAGAGGGTAGGTACTCTAATTTATTTATTTTTATACTCTCAAGCAATAGAATAGTGAGAGGTATGTAGTAATTGCACAGTAAATGCTTTTTTACATTGATTCATTGAGTGTTCTGCTGCATTTATTGTAATTACTTAGTTTCATTAATCCATCAGTTACTTACTGAGGGTCTGCTATATTCCAGAGACTTCCTATGCCTTACTAGTTACCACTTCAAGTGAAGTATAGAAGCCTTCCTTCCCTTTAGGTGTCTTTGCCCTCTTCACTTTTATATATTTGTTTTGAGTTTTTTTTCTGTGGCCATTGAGCATCACATCAGATGGCATTATAATTTTTGCTTCAATCATCAAATATGATTTAAGAAACCCATGAGAAGGATAGTTTATTATACATGCATATTTTTTGTTCATCCCATTGTAGATACGAGAGCTTCTGGAGTTCTGAGTTCTTTTTGTTATTATTTCCTTATTTAGAGAACTTCCTTCAGCCATGCTTTAAGAGTATGTGTTCTAGTGACAAATTTTCATAATTTTCCTTTCTGTGGAATGTTTTCCTTTCTCCTTATTTCTGAAGGATATTTTCACCGGATGTAAATTCATATTTGACATTTCTTTCCTTGGCACCTTAAAAATGTTCTGCTTCCTGCTGACTTCTATGGTTTTAGCTGATAAATCCACTGTTTGAATTTTTGTTCCTTTCTAAGTAGTGCATTGTTTCTCACTGGCTGCATTCAAGATTTTGAAGATTCTTTGTCTTTAGTTTTCAGAAGTTTATTGTGTGGCCTGACATGGAATTCTTTTAAAGTTTATCCTATTTGAGAGTCATTCAGTTTCTTGAATCTGTGTTTTGTCAAATTTGGGAAATTTTCTGTTATTGTTTCTTTTTCAGATGCTTTCTTTCTCTTCTTTCCTTCCTTTTAGGAAGCCAATTATATATGTATTAGTTCACTTATTTCAGAGCTTCCTGAAACTGATTAGTATTCAAAGTTAATAATTCTATCCTCAAATGTGTCTCCATTCTACTATTGAGCCCATCTAACACTTTTAAAAAATTTCTGTTATTGTATTTTTTAGTTCTGTATATTCCATTTACTTTTTGAAAATTTCTATTTTTAGATTTTCTGGTTTTTTTCACTAGTTTCAAGAGAATTTATAATTGCATGCTGAACCATTTTTATGATGGCTACCTTAAAATTCTTGTCAGATAATTCTAACATCAGATTCATTTCATTGTTGGCATCTGTTGATTGTCTTTTCACATTCAAGTTGTGATTTTCTTAGGTTCTGGTGTCACAAGTGATTTTCACTTATATCCTGATCATTTTGAATATTATATTATGATACTCTGGATAATATCTAGTCTTTATATTTAGGCAAACAATCTCTCTTTTGGGAGTAGCATGAGGGCTGGGCGAATGCATATGTTCGTTTAGTCTCCTCCGGGGTCCTGCAGTCACCTTCTGTCCAAAAGGGAACACTAACTCCTGCCACTTCATTGCAGATGAATGAAGTAGACGTTCAGTGCCCCCTTTTGCCTGAGTGAGGCACCAACCTGTACTGTCTTGTTGCCTCCAAGATGCGTGTAAGCTTAGCTCCTTACTGCGTCCTGTTGAACTAAGGAGGGAAGAGTGGAGAGCTGATTTATACTTCTCTGTTGCCATGAAGTAGAGTGAAATCTCAGCTTCCTGTCCAACCTCATGGACACTGACTCAACAGGGGAATTGGAACACTGCTGGCTTTTGCTGAGTGGAGAATGGAAGATCAGCTCTCTGCTTGGTTCCTCTGAAACTGCAGAGAGGGGTGGTCTTTTCATTGGTGGAAATCGAGTGGAAAGATTTTCTGTTGTTAGGTTGCTGTTTTCCTAGTCTTGTGGTGAGGGGAAACAAGCTTCTGGAGCTTTTCTGTTTTGTGCCTCTCATTGGCTCCAGAGTGAAGCTTCTCCAGCACCCTGTCCTGAATATCTAGGAGACAATAGGGAAATCTGGGTGTGCTGCTCTTTATTCCTGTGGTTTCTGGGTTGTCTGCCTTCTTTGTTCTACGTTTTAGTCTTTCAGTGCTTGCTTGTGCAGGGTTTATAGATGAGAGAGGGAGAAGCTGGAAGAAATGGTCTACTCATCTTGGTCTTATTTATGAAATGGAAGATTATTTGATTTTTTTTTTTTTTGAGTTGGAGTCTCTGTCATCAACCTGGAGGGCAGTGGCATGATCATGGCTCACTGTAGCCTCAACACCCTGGGCTCAGGCAGTCCTTTCACCTCAGCCTCCCTAGTAGCTGGGACTACAGGCACGTACCACCATGCTCAGCTTTTTTTTTTTTTAATTTTTGTAGATATGAGAGCTTGCTATGTTGTCTGGGCTGGTCTTGAACTCCTGGGCCCAAGCAATCCACTTGCCTCGGCCTCCCAAAGTGATGGGATTACGGGCATGAGCCACTGTGCCCAGCCTTATGTGCTTTCTTTGTTGTAGATTTTGGGAATAATTGGACTTGTGATGTAGAATATTGAATCTTTTGGAAATAAATGCATTTAAATGCTGAATGTTATTTATTGTACAATAGAATTCAAAAGCAGGAAGTGGAGGAAAATCACAAATTACTTGGGATAATCCTAAAGAATTAGAAGGCTACATCCAAATACTCCAAAATGCTGCTGAACGACTTGCCACTGAAAATAGAAAACTAAGAAAATGGCACACTACATTTTGTGAAAAGGTATATTTTATTTATAAAATTGAGTAAACTATGAATAGTATTAATGAATGAATTAATATATGAATAGTATTAATTAAAAAATAATTAAGATACAATTTAAAACATTTTTGAAATAATTTGAGGCTTAAAGTTGCAAAAATATTGCAGAGTTCACATTTTACCCTTCACCCAGGTTCCCCTAGTGTTTACAACCTTAATACGGTTATCAATCCAGGAAACAGACAAGGTTGGGTGTGTTTAGGAGCTAAACAATGGGTACACATGGACATAAAGATGGAAACAGTAGACGCTGGGGACTTCAAAAGGGGTGAGACGGAGTGGGTTAAGAATTGAAAAACTGTCTCTTGGGCATTGTGCTCATTATTTGGGTGATGGGTTCTCTAGAAGCCCAAACCCCAGCATCACCCAATATACCCATGCATCAAACCTTCACATGTACCCCCTCAATCTAAAATTTATAAAAAACAAACAAAAACTAAAAAAAGAATACACTCTCTAATTTGTCAAAATAATAGAAACCTTGTAACAACAACAACAAACAAACAGACTGGTTTTGAATTTTACAACTTTTTCCAAAAACATCCTTTTTCTTTTCCAGGACACAGGCCAGGATCTCACTTTGCATTTAGTTGCTGGGTCTCTGGAGTCTCCCCCTCCTCAGTCTTTCCTCGTTTTTCATGATTTTGTTGAGAACTGGTCAGTTATTTTGTAGAATCTCTCTTGATTTGGGATTATATGATGTTTCATGATGAGACCGAGGTTATGCAGTTTTGGCAGGAATAGCACAGAAGTGAGTGAAGCTTTGCCCTGCTCAGTACATCCATCGGGGGTCAATATGTCATATTGTCGGTTGACTTAAACTTGCTCACTTGGTGAAGGTGGTGTCATCAGGTTTCTCCACTGAAACTTGACTGTTTTCCAGCAATATTTTGGATGCTCATGCTTTAATTTTTAATAGGTGGTTGCTCTTATGAATATTGATCTACTTCGGCAGCAACAGCGCTGGAAAGATGGATTACAAGAACTGAGGACTGGCTTAGCAAGTGTGGAAGCACAGGTAGAGTGTGCTACTTCGCGTCTCTACTTTGAAATATGACCTTTGCAGGATGTGAATATAGTATATGAATTGATGAGACATTCCTAAAGGTTATCTTTAAATCTTTTCTAATTTCTAATAAATCTGGGTTTTCAAAAACTGAATTATATATAAAGACCATACATTAACAGTGAGTTTATGTTTGAAAAAATACAAAAATAAGTTTCTGTTTATCTTTTGGAACACCAAATCCCTCAATTCAGAGTTTGTAGTTTTTCTGACTTGGTGTTTAATTATCTAATACTTCTTAGTTCTCTTTTAGGTGATTATAACATCCATAGGACACAAAGTTAACTTTAGGCAGAAGCTTAATAATCTAAATGACTTTATTTCACAGTTTTTTTTCTTTTTGGGGGTAAAATTTCAGTTCTTTTTATATTCGTATGTCAGAGATGATGTATATAAAGGTGACTAGAACAGAGCCTGTTACACAGTAGGTGGTAATGGGATCTTAGCTGAATATCACCAGAGGTCTCACACATTTACATATATTTTGAGTTTTAAGAACTTTAAGAAAAACATCAAAAGTGCTAAAATTGGTATATAGGGTTGTATAGAAGCAAAAATGTATGTAAACTATCCTCAGCATTCTAATATTTTAAATTTCTTATGTTTTTAAATGTATAGTGGATTTTTTAGAAAGTGGGATGGGAAGAGAAAAGCTATATTTTATGGGAATTTTTGAAAAAGGACTAAGAAGTTCACAAAATAAACAATTGTTTGTGGTAACACATCATAAAATAAAGTCTAAATGTAAAAGTAATTTAATATTTGTTTGGTTTTTAAATTTTACTGATATTTTTGATCACACGTAAGCAGCCCAACATCACACAAAGGGGAGCGGGAAAGGCAAGATCACCTAAATCCTAGTTTCAGTAGAAAAATCCAGGCCACTAAGATAAAGATAAAGTCACAATTGCAGGATATAGAAGACAAGAATATCACAGAAAAAATCAACAAGACAAAACCTGGTTCTTCGAAAGGATCAATAAGATTGATGGACCCATGGCCAGACAGATTATAAAAAACAGAGAGAGAGGAAAAAGTCCAAATAGACACAATTAGAAATGAAAAAGACAAAGTCACAAATGACACTGAAGAAATTCAAAACATTATCAGAGATTACTATGAACACCTGTATGCAAGTAAACTAGGAAATATAAAGGAAATGGAGGACTTTCTGGCATCACACGACCTCAACAGTTTGAAGCAAGAAGAAATTGAAACTCTAAACAGTGCAGTAACAATTCAGGAAATCAATTCAATCATAAGAAGTCTCCCCACCAAAAAAAGCCTGGGACCATATGACTTCCCAGCTGAATTCTACAAGATATACAAAGAGGAGCTATTAACAATTTTAAAGAAAGTACTTCAGGCAATTGAGAAAGATGAAATACTTCCTAACTCATAGAATTAACATCACACTGAATCCCAGACCTAACAAAGACCCAACAAGAGAGAGAGAATTACAGAACAATCTCCTTCATGAACATAGATACAAAAATTCTCTACAAGATTCTAGCAAATTGGATTCAGCAACATATATCAAGGATTATCCACCATGATCAGGTGAACTTCATTCCCCGGATGCAGGGCTGGTTCAACATTCACAGGCCTGCAAACATAATTCAGCACATTAACAGATAAAACCGAGAACCACATGATCATCTCATTAGATGGAGAAAAAGCATTTGGCAAAATCTACATTCCTTCTTGATAAAAACCCTTCAGCACCTAGGCATAGAAGAAACATTCCTTAAAACAATATGAGCCATCTATGATAAATCCACAGCCAACATTTTGCTCAAGGGACAGAAGCTGGAAACATTCCCCCAAAGAATGCAAACCAGGTAAGGATGTCCACTTTCACCCTTCACATTCAGCATAATGCTGGAAATCCTAGCCAGAGCAATCAGTCAAGAGAAGGAAATTTGGGGTATCCAAATAGGAAAAAAGGAAGTTAAGGTATCCCTCTTTGCAGACCATATGATTCTACACCTAGAAAATCCTATGGAGTCTGTCAAAAGCGTCCTCGCATTGATAAATAAGTTTCGTAAAGTTTCAGGTTACAAAATAAATGTGCAAAAGACAGTTGCATTTCTATACACCAGCAACAAGCAAGTGGTGAACCAAATGAAAAACACAATGCCATTTATAGTAGCCACACACACAAAAAAATAAAAATAAAACCTTGGCATCCACCTAACCAAAGAAGCGAAAGACCTTTACAGTGAGAACTACAGAATGCTGCTCAAGGAAGTTAAAGATGGCACAAAAATGGGAAAAAAAAATCTCACTCTCATGGAGTGGAAGAATCAATATTGTCACAGTGCTCATCCTACCTACCCATGACAATCTATAGATTCAATGCAATACCCATCAAATTACCAACATCATTTTTCACAGACATGAAAATGACAATACAGAAATTCATATGGAAACAACAAAGAGCAAAAATAACCAAAACAATTCTCAGCAAAATGAACAAATCTGAAGGTATCACATTTCCAGACTTCAAACTTTATTACAAGGCTACAATAACCAAGACAGCATGGTACTGGTACAGGATTAGGCACAAAGACCAATGGAACAGGACAGAGATTCTAGAAGTAAAAACACGGTCTGTCAACCAACTTATCTTCGACAAAGCAACCAATAAGAAGTACTGTGGAGCCGGGCTCGGTGGCTCAGCCTGTAATCCCACACCTTTGGGAGCTGAGGTGAGTGGATTGCCTGAGCCTGTGGGTTTGAGACCCACCTGGGCAACTTGGAGAGACCTCACCTCTACAATAAATCAAAAAATTAGCCAGGCGTGGTAGCGTGCACCTGTAGTTCCAGCTACTTGGAAGGTTGAGGTGGAAGGATCGCTGGCGCCCAGCAGGCGAGGCTGCAGTGACCGGGAGCGGCCACTGCACTCCAGTCTGTGCGACAGAGTGACACTCCAACTCAAAAAAAAAAAATAAATAAAAGTACTGTGGAAAGTAGACCATAGTAAGCAAACGGTGCTGGGAAAACTAGCTAACCAATGCAGAGCAATGAAACTGGACCCTTACCTGTCACCATATCCAAAAATCAACTAAAAATGCACCAAAGACATAAAACCTCAAACTGTAAGAATCCTAGGAGAAAATGTGGGAAACACCCTTATGTACACTGGAGTAGGCAACAAATTCTTGACCAAGTCCCCAAAAGCTAATGCCATAGAAACTAAGAAAGATAGACAAATGGGACCTCATCAAACTGAAAAGCTTTTGTACAGTGAAAGAAACCATCAAGAGAATAGTAACAACCCATAGAATGGGAAAAAATATTTGCAAATTGTGCATCTGACAAAGGTCTAACATTCAGGATCTACAAGGAACTTAAGTAAAAGGAATAATACAAACACCCCATTAAAAAGCGGGCAAAGGACATAAAAAGGTTCTTCTCAAAAGATGACCTACAGGTGGCCAATAGACACATGAAAAAATGTTCAGCCTCACTTATCATCAGAGAAATGCAAATCATAACTATAATGAGGTATCACCTAACTCCAGTAAGGATGGCTATCATTAATGAGTCAAAAAACAAGTGCTGATGTGGAAAAAAGGGAATGCTTCTATACTCTTGGTGGGAATGCAGGCTAATTCAATCTCGTTTGAAGACAGTGTGGTGATTTCTAGAAGAACTAAGAATTAATCTTCCATATGATACAGCAATCCCTCTTCTGGGAATATACCTGGAGGAACATAAATTGCTCTACCAAAAAGACATCTGCACATGCATGTTTATTGCCATACTATTCACAATAGCAAAAACATGGAATCAACCCTGCTGCCCATTGAAAGTAGACTGAATAAAGAAAATGTGGTACATGCACATGATGAAGTTTTATGTAGTCATAAAGAATAATAAAATCATGGACTTCATAGCAACTTGGATGCAGTTGGAGACCATCATACTTAGTGAACTATCACAGAAACAGCTGAATACTATATGCTCTCACTCATAAGTGGGCCCTGATTATTAGTCACATTAGAACAAGGGTGGGATAAGCAGTTGCTGGGCACTTCTAGGGGAGAAAGGAAGGGAGGAGGCAGGAAGCACCTGACAACACACTGGGGTCCTGGTCCCCTACCGGGGGGAATAAGGGTCGTTAGATGTCCAAACTTCACCTGCGTGCAGCCTACTTACAGAGTTAATCCTCACTTGTACCCCACAACTCTATAATAAATAAATTAAAAATATAAATGCATTTTACTGAATTTCTTACATCCTTACATCTATATGTTGTTTATATGTGATATATATTATATATGTATTTATGAAGATTAGAGATTTTCATATTTGACTACATAAGTCTATATTAAAAGTACTAAAAGTAGTCATTAAGGCGGTACATGCTTTAAGATTTGAAAAATGAGGTGAGTTTTTTTGTGTGTGTGCTTATAATTGTGTTTTATGTGACATGAAAATGTTAAATGAAAAAAATCTCTCCTGCCTAATTTTAAATAAAAAATGTGAATGTCACAGGGGTTCCAAGCAAGGGACATGTGTGCATGGAAACAGCACTGGAATCACCAACTGTACAAAGCTCTGGAGCATCAGTATCAGATGGGCTTAGAAGCACTTAACGAGAATCTGCCAGAAATCAACATAGACTTAACTTACAAGTAAGATGTTGCTAAACCCGAGTTTAATGTTCAACGGATGGTTTTCTAATAATTTATGTTTTAAAGTTGTTTGTTTACTTTCAGACAGGGACGATTACAATTCAGGCCCCCTTTCGAAGAAATCCGGGCTAAATATTACAGAGAAATGAAGAGATTCATCAGCATTCCCAATCAGTTTAAGGGCGTGGGTGAGGCAGGAGACGAATCTGTTTTTTCTGTTATGATTGATAGAAATGCAAGTGGATTTCTGACTATTTTCAGCAAAGCAGAAGATCTGTTTAGAAGATTATCAGCTGTTTTGAATCAACATAAGGTACAGAACATACACTTTTCCATTTTTCTATAATAAAATTTCATCTGATTCATTGAATTAACTTTGAATATACAAATGATTAACTTATATTGTGTAGCATAAAATTAAAATATCATGAACTAGAATGCCAGATTTGTAGATTTTTATCCAAATGTCTTGTGCTGCAAGTAGAAAAAAGCTATACAAATTTTATTTTGTCTTTGACTGTTTTGTGAAGATTGAAAAACTACTTTTTTTTTGTTTTTAAATTGTTGTTAACTTGAAATGTGACATGACTCTGTTGTACCAATTTTAATTCTTCTGAAGTCCTCAAATGTTAATGAAATCAGGGTGATTTAGCTGCTTATATCTGGTTAAGTGCATGACCCCTGCTAACTCCAAACATAAATCCTCATCGCATTGCTCTTTTGTATTGATCTTGAGACTAAGATTGATATAACTAAGAATTTGACCAGTTCCTTAACGCCACTGCAGTGTTTCTGCATTTTAGATTTCTAGGGTGAATCCGAATTATGAATGGATTTGTAGCCTATTGTGACTCTTGGCTTTGCAGAAGTGATTCTTTGAACTTTATATGTATCTAGTTTGAGAAGAGAATATAAAAGATTTTTATAATTTCCTTTAAAAAATTTATGATTACTGCATTTTCATATTATGTCTTTTTTCCCACGTTCATTCTTTAGGCTATGCGGTAATAATTGCATTTACATACTTAAATTTACATTTACTTGAATTCCTTACATTTGCCCCCTTTTATTGGCCCTAACAGTTAGATCCTAATCTTTCAAATGTTACTTTAATTAGTTTTATTTCTTTAGTAATATGTTTTTTGTTCTTTAAATAGGAATGGATTGTAATCGGGCAAGTTGATATGGAAGCTCTGGTGGAAAAACATCTTTTTACTGTATATGATTGGGAGAAAAATTTTAAAGCATTGAAAATAAAAGGGAAAGAAGTAGAACGACTTCCAAGGTATCAGAGGCTCACTTAGTACTTATATACCACAATAATTTTGGATTGTGGGTAGTAAGGGTGCTTAGGTCTACTTAGTGGCATTGAAGTTGATCAGCTTCTTATCATCTCCTAGACCTCAGCCATGACATTTGTGTATCATCTGGGTAGCACATTGCCGAGAATGGACAGGGGGAAGAGGCTTCTCTTCAGATCTGGTATGAGGAGCCAGTGTTTGGTATGCATTGGCACAGCCTGAAGTGTAGTCCAAAGCTACTAGTGAGAGCGGTTGGAGTGTTATACAGCCAGTGAGATTTCGCAGTGCTTTTGCTCTGCTCTGCTTCCTCTCAGAGTATCCCAAGAGGCACACAACAAAGTGTTCCTAATGTTGCTCTATTTGAGGGGAGTCTCATAACCTCACTGCTTGAGATCATATCCCCTTTGTTATCCGAAATTCTCACCACTGGAACCACTCCTAGCAATACGTTCCATGAGTGGGAATTTACATTTATTAATTTTAGAATGGTTGGTTTTTGAAGGTTTCTGAACAGGGGTGCATCAGTACCAAAGCTGTATATTAGGAAGGTTAATAGGGAAAGAGTGAGCTACATGGTGTAGAATAAAGAGATCTTGGAAACAGACAGGCTAGTCTGACGTGAACATTTATTGAATTAAGTTGTTGGTACTCAGAATGAGGAGGAGGAATTATGAAATCTTATTTATTGGGAGACGAGGGATGAGGAATACAGAAGAGACAAATGACTTGAGCTTTTTTTGCACTTGGGTGATTTGCATAATGGTAGTGCCTTTAATATTCGTTTGAAGAAAGGAAAAGATAAGATAGTCTTTCTTAGTGCTTGTTTATTCTCTTCTCTGTCGTCCTGTCTTTATTTCAGTCCTGCCCATCTTCTCTGGCTTAGTGCTGCCACTTGACTGCTCAGGGACCCTGTTGCTGCCTCTACTATTTGTCCCCTGCTATATAGACAACTTTTCTATGTATACTTCCTTACCAAAGTTAAACAGAACAAAACAAAGAATGCCTGCCCTACGTTCAATTTTTTATTTTACTATTTCTTGATAATAAATTAACATATATTTATCTAAGCTAATCTTGCAGCATATTTTCAAAAGTACCAATAAAATAAATATCTGCGTGTTTGTTGTGTACATGAAATATGCTGTAAGATTAGAAAAACTATATTTTAATAATGTATTCCAGATAGTGAAGTAAGAAAATAATTAGGACATTTATCTTTGATGCATAATAAGGCATCTTCCCATTCTGTCTATGGCTGAATGGAATCTCAGTCGCATGCTATGAATATTTTCAAATGAAAGGTGAATGTTGTCCAAACATTCTGTAGTCAATGAGTAAAACATTTTTGTAATTATGTCACCTTATGTTTATTCATTAGCAAAATATAATATAATGTAATTTTTAGGTTTTCCATAATCATCTATCTTCATGCATCAATTATCAGAAATCGTGTCCCTTTACGTGTCAGGATTTCAGAAATCATGTAACTTCATGTATCAAGCAATTGGCTTGTATGACTTTTGGTTGTTAGGAACTGTAGTTTTAAACCTCTCCAGCCAGTGGGGATTGAGAATAAATACATACAGCTTTAAAAGAAAACTATATTTTTATTAAAAAACTGTGCACACTTAATTCATATAACTTGCTTCCCAAAGATTTCACTGGCTTTGTGGTTTAAAAGTAGCTTTTTAAATCTTTTGACCTAAATTTTCAGATCTTTTTCTTAACTTTGTATAAGATATATGAGATTTTGCTCATATGAGCAGGTCTGGTTTAGCTTCTCTTTGCTTAGAGCATTATAATTTGCATTAGGGTACAATGCAAAGCATTAGTCTTTTTAAAGTCATATGCCATTTTTTTCTGATTTTTAAAATAATACATTGTTTCCTAAGTTTTTTAAAATATAGAAAAGTACAGAGGCAGTTGCTCTTAGCATTTGATGTTTTGGACATTAGCACATACACTTAAAAATTTGGATCATACTGTACCCTATTTTTATTTAATACTATTGTATTAGTATTTTGCCATGTTATTTATTCCTCAAAAATGTGATTTTTAATTATATGGGTACAGAATAATTTATTTAGCCATTCCTGTATTTAGCTTGTTTCTGAGTTTTCACTATTATAGTTAATAGTTTGATGAAGATAGTTGTGTGTATAAGTCTTGGAGTCTGACTTTAAAATTTCCTTAGGATAAATTCTAAAGGTGGAGCTATTAAAACAAAGGATGTGCCTATTTTAGAAATATTTGATACATAAATTCCTCTTTACAAAGGTTGCATTATATTATACTTTGACCAATAGTTCTGAGGGATCTCTTTTTGCCCACACAATTGAAATTGCAAATTAACCATTCATTAAATTTTGGTCAACTTGATAGATGGTATCTTCTTTTTTAGTGCATTAATAATTGATATTCACTTTCTATCTGTAATTCTCTTATTATTGTTTGTATTTTAGCTGCAGGAAAGTGAATTTATTTTATGGATATTTAAATAAATATATTGCATGCTGTGACAGGAGCTTGTAAACATTTAAATATATTCTGTTGATACTTCAGTAATTAATAATGTGATGCTCTTTTTAAAAAGCTGATCAAAATTGTAGTATTATAATGAAATAATTGTTCAATGAAACACTTCAAAGTAGAATGTATGAAGCATTTTTGCCAAATTAAATCAAAATGTGCTTATAGATCACTTTTGACTTACATTTTAAAATGTATTACACAAAATTATTATAGTATTATATTGGTACTCTTTTCCTCTAGTTAGTGTTTCTCATATCAAAATATGTCCATTGGCATTTTTCAGTGCTGTCAAGGTGGATTGTTTAAATATTAATTGCAGCCCTGTAAAGACTGTGATTGATGATCTCATCCAAAAGTTATTTGATCTGCTTGTTCTTTCTTTGAAGAAGTCTATCCAGGGTAAAGACAATTTTTAATTTTTATTTTCACTTAATTTTGTATGAAAAGGGATATACTTTAATAGTTGTAAAATATTAACCTCAGTGATGATTAAAAATTAAAACTGAAGTGTTATGAAATAAAATATTCTCAAAATGATCATTTAAAAAAAATAGAAAAGTCAGTGTTCAGTCCTTAACAGGTCAAAAAATTGAAGACATCTTTATTATTTGTAACCTGTGCGAGTATTAGTTGATTGCATATGTGACTGAGAAAGGTAGATGATTCTGGTATAATGTATTTATTTCTTCTTATCTCTTCAAATGACACATTATTTCCCACAGTCCAACCTTGATTCTTTTTTTCTTTAAATGGGCATGCTTTACTGTATTATATAAAGACTGAAAATGTTCCTAATCTTTAGTAAAATATACTAAGAATGAATACATTTTAATTTTTCTTAAAAATTTTAAGTGCAATGTGAAGCAACTCAACTTTCATGGGAAAAATGATTTTTGCTTAGTTTGCCTCTTGAAATTTTGTTTTATGAAAGCTAATGATAATTTAGGATTTAATAGATTCCATATAGTGATTACTTCTAACACTTGTTGACTTAGAAATTATGTAATTAAATATTTTTGGTGATAATAATAATGTTTCTTATATTTCAATGTTACCTATTCAGCTCATTTACATGAAATCGATACATTTGTCACTGAGGCTATGGAAGTCTTAACAATTTTGCCCCAGTCTGTGGAAGAAATAGGTGATGCAAATTTACAATATAGTAAGCTACAGGAACGGAAGCCAGAGGTGAGAATCACAAAGAAAAGTTATATTTATTATTATTTTTAATGTGCTGGGAATGTTTAAATTGGGATAATTTTATGTTATCATTTATAAATATATAATCTCAACATTATGAGTAGAGCCACAATAATCTGGTCCAACTGGCCAGCTCATGATTGGACTCTTGATGCTATATTAGTATAATTAAAGAGTAGTGGTAATACTTAATATTATTTTCAGAAGTATTTGTAGTCTATCTTAGGATGTGGCATATGAGAATAGAGTAAACTTAAGTAATTCATGTTGTTGCCTTTAGGGTTATAATTTTAGAATGCTGAAGTATGAAGTGAGAGCTGAATTAGCAACACACACACACACACACACACACACACGCACGCACGATGGAAGACTCATCAGTAAAGACAAAGATGAGTGATAAAGGCTCATAAAACAATATCCAGAAGGTTAGAGCTCAGAATGAACAAGCCAAAGTTTTATGAAATATATTATGGATGATTTTAATTATATTTAGAGCTAGAAGAAATAATTCAAATTAGTACCCAAACTTATATGTCCCTACTATGTGATAGACTTAAAGTTGTAAAGAGAGTTTAAAGGTGAATAAAATAATATTTCTTCCTCCTGGAAAGAATTACAAACATTTATATGATAGGCTTAAAGATATAAAAGAGGATTTAAAGGTGAATCAAGTATGTCTGCTAGAAGGTATTAACTTAAAAAGGAAGAGCTGTGGCAGTTAGCACAGAGGCATTTATTTATTTGACAGCTAGGTGTACTCTGATGTATTCCAGGCATTGGGCTGGGAGTTGGGGATGCGACTGTGAACGTGTTCTGTTCCTATGGAATGTACATTTGTTTGTGTGTGTGTGTGTGTGTGTGTGTGAAAGAGTGAGAGTGAGTGAGAAAGAGAGAGAGAGAGAAAGAGAGCAAGAGAGAGAGGAATGAGAGAAGTAGGAATAACATGAATGAGTATGCTCAACTAGGGGATGCTACTTAGGGTGAGTAATCATGGGACACCTTCTCAGAGAGATGGCATTTGAACTAAGGCCTGAAAGATAGAAGGAGACAATTATTCTGAGATTTGAGACAGGTCACTCCAAAAAGAACGGACAGCATGTACAGAGATCTTGCAGTAGAGAAGGAGCTTCTCTACCTCAAGGTACAGATAGCTAGAAATGTAATCAAGAACATTAGTTGTTAAGAAAGCATAGTATTCCTAATAAGAAAGGGATTGGCAGTAGTGGGAAACTGTCCGGGGGCAGGGGGGGCACACCTCATCAACAAGGGTACCTGCATGCTGAACATTTGTATACCTAACCCTGAATTGAACTCTACATCTTTATTTAAAAAAAATAAAGCATAGTATTCAAGGAAGAGAATAGTATGAGGTGAAATTGGAAAGGGAGGCAAGGACCGGATTATGAAGGCACCTTTAAACAATCATAATGACTTCAGATTTTTTTGTGTGTGATATATTGAAAAGTTTTAGAGGTTTTTAAACATGGAAGTGACACAGTGTCTTTTAAATTTTGATGTGGTGACTCTGGTTTTTCTGTGGAGAATGAATTGGAAAGAAACAAAAGTAGTGGGGAGGCCAGTATTACAGTGTGGTAGACGTGAGATGATAGTAGTAGCAGAGATGGGACTGAGGGATTGAAGACATATTTTAGAGTTAGAATCAAGGGGATATTCCAATGCATAAGTGGGAGGGGTGGTTAGAGAAAGAGAGATCAAAATGTCTAGGATTTTGGCTTGAGCAACTGGGAAGATGTCATTTTCTGGGATGAAGATGACTAGAGAAGCAACTGACAGTCTGAAAGAAGCTGAATGTGGAATATAAAAGTAAGGGCTAGTGATATACCTTTGGAAGTCTTCTTTATATTCACGATATTTAAGCACTCTTAAGCCTTGAGACTGGCTTAGACCACCTGGTAGAGAACAAACAGCAGAGGGTCTAAGACCAGGGTTGGGCCTTGCAAAATTTAGACCTCATGCATAGGAGGAGGAGCAAAGGAGATGAATGAAGTGGAAGGAAAGAGGAAAGTGTAACATCATACAGCCTAAGAGGAGACATGACTACTGAGAACAGTTCGCAGTTAGGCGTTGTGTGAGAGAGTATGTGAAGTGGGAAGTGGCGTGAGGTAATTGAAGAACTGGGCAGAATCTGTCATGTGCGCCACATCGAGGACCACAGACTCTTACTTTCTGGGGGCGTTGAGTAGTCGTGGCTGGACTTTATGCCCCAGGTGTCCCAGAATTCTCTTTTGGTGTGCCTCTTGTTGGCATTTAGGGTAGTCCTAGAGGCGGAGAGACTGCTAGGGAACTGTTGTGATATCTTTACAGAATAACAAATTTCGTTCACGTAGGAAATTAAAATTCTGCTAGTACTGCATGGCTTCTTAGTCCATTGGGTTTTCTGTTTCTCAGATAGAACTCATCCTGCCCAGGGATTGCAAGCTGGTCATTGAGATAGCTTTGGATTTCCTGTGTTGTCTGTTTTATTGTGTGTGCTCAGTGATATTTAAAAGTCTTTAAATATATTTTACTGCTTTGTTGAATAGTGAAAACACAGATATTAATTATAGGATACAGGGTGTTAAAAGGTTTAGAGGGAATTCAAGCAAGTTAGCACCTATTGACCTACACACAGATTGTTTAACAATCTGTTAACTATGCACAACTTTGGGCATTTCAGTCAAATACTCTGAATGCAGGAGCTTAATTTTATTTCTTCACTTGTCTCTTTCTTAATCACCTTTTTCATGACTTTCTCTTCTCTGTTGCATAGGACAATTTAGTTAACACATGCTCTTAGACAGTCACTAATTTACCTCTTTTAGAAGTTATTTATTTATTTATTTATTTATTTATTTATTTATATTTCTTAACAGGGTCTTGCTGTGTCACCAAGGCCAGAATGCTTTTTTACCTCTGATGTCTAAATACCTTCGTTGACCTTCTGTATAATAATAAATAACTATTGGAAAGTTTATACCTAGGGTTTTTTGGTTTTCCAAATCAGCATATCCTGGATTTTAACAAATTATTTAAAAGCAAAAGTCTTTATTTTATTATATTATATGTATTTTTTTGAGTCAGAGTCTTACTCTGTCACCCAGGCTGGAATGCAATGGCATACTCACGGCTACCACAGCCTCAACCTGCTGGACTCAGACCATGTTTCTGACTCAGCCTTCCAAATACCTGGAATCACAGGCATACACTACTATGACTGGCTTATTTTTTTTATTTAATGTAGAGTCGAGGTCTCACCAAGTTGCCCAGGCTGGTCTCAAACACTTGGGCTAAGGCAGTTCTCTCGTCTTCACCTCCCAAAGTGCTAGGATTACAGATGTGAGCCACCACACCTGGCCAAATAGTTTGATTTTAAAGGAGCAAATTATGAAACAAAAATTGAAATAAATGAAATTTTAGGATATTTGATAAAATAAGTTATTTACATTTTTTTTTAACCTTTAGATTTTGCCCTTATTTCAAGAAGCTGAAGATAAAAACAGACTTTTACGAACTGTGGCTGGTGGAGGTTTAGAAACAATTAGTAACCTGAAAGCTAAGTGGGATAAGTTTGAGTTGATGATGGAAAGTCACCAGCTTATGATTAAGGAGCAGGTGAGAACCTTTCAATTATTTTATTAAAATGAAAGCTTGACTTTTTTTCTCACTTAAGATTTTTTGCTTATCTTCATTTCTTTGTAGCCCAGGTTTATAAGAATTAAATGCGAGTATTAAAATTGATCTTCTCTAGTACTTTCATAGAAAAGTACTTTCTATAAATGATGATTGTTCCACACGGCTTTTCTTCACTTTTTCTCATATCAAGGAGAAACTAGTCCCATTGCAATATATACATTATTTTCAGTCTTTCAAATGAACTTTTTGTTGACCTACTGTTGATATGTATGGCTTAAGTTTATTTCTGAAACTCATGTTTTCTTTAATTACTAAATTTATTAGGATATCAGCTTGATTACTCTAATGGAGATCCCCAGAATTTCAACTTCCTTTTTCTCATGTTAGACAGTAAGCTGACATGGGGCCTCTGGCCTGTCACTTTGTTTGAGGCCCATGTTTCCTCCATCTCATTTGCTCACTGTCTTGAGAGTATCTTCGTCGATGGGTCAGTACCACATTCAGATGCTACCTATAGGGAGGACGCAGGGGAACAGAAAAAGAAAGGGGCACTGTCTGTCTTTTAAGAGCACAGCCTGGAGTTTGGACACATTTATTGCACTCATGTTTCATTGACCAGCAGTTAGTCTTATGGCCCTTAGTTGCACGGGAGACTGGGAAATACCTTCTTTAATTTAAGAGTTATGTACTCAAGTAGAACAATCCACAGTCATTGAACAAACTTTTTAAAAATTACATCACCTTGTTGGTAGTTGTAATGGGTGTGGTTAGTCACATGAACAATTTTTAAAAATGATATTGAGGGTTGACTCTTGTTACTATAAAGTTATGGTCTTATTTTATATCTGAATTATTTTATTATACTTGAAATCAATAATTAAAATGAAAACAGTCCTTTGAAAAGTTGATGTTGATATTTTTTCACTTTTAAATAGAAACTATTGGAAGTAAAAGGTGAAAATGAAGTGAGATTTTACTATCCTTTAAGTTGTTTAAACTCTATTGGCTTATAGATGGAAGTGATGAAAGGAAATGTGAAGTCACGTCTTCAGATCTATTATCAAGAACTGGAAAAATTTAAAGCTCGTTGGGACCAGCTAAAGCCTGGTGATGATATTATTGAAACTGGCCAACATAATACTCTTGATAAAAGTGCGAAGTTAATAAAAGAGAAAAAAATTGAGTTTGATGATCTTGAAGTCATAAGAAAAAAGCTGATGTATGTTTTTTCTTTAAAACTAATAGTGCTAGCTTTGAAAAAAAGTTTTTAATTTATATGTCAAGCTAGTAATTTTCTTATATCTGCTGTCTTAATTCCTTTTTATAAAATTCATCAGTTTTTAAAATACAAATAGTAAGTTCATGTTACTGCTGTTTTAGGAGTCGTGATTGGGTTATATAAGGATATTAAGAGAAAGCAAATTTTAAGAAAGGTCTAGAAATAGAATAGAAAATTAAGTTTACTTAAAAGTTGTATAACGTATTGGAATATTCACTTTTGATGACCTTATGCTTTTTAAAAACAGTGTTAAGGTTTTGAAAAAATTACTTTTAGTGCTGAGAAAAAGATTAATCTAGCAAAATAAGTAATAAGACTTCAAAGAAAAATATGGATTATAATAATATAAACTATTGAGCACTGCTTTAGGTTTGGGCTATTTAAGCAAGCATGTCCATAAAATAATTGCTTTAATAAGTGAGAGAATATTTTATTACCAAATTATTAATAAAATGGAATCATACTGATTAGATGAAGACCATCTTATATTCTACTACCCCTTTCAACTGAGAAGACTGTCTCCGCTCAGATTATGACAGACTTATAATACATACATAAAAATCTCTCTTTATATATTACCAACTCAATTATGACTCCTTTGGAAACAATGCTTGCTAATGAATCTAGTAGAGCCTGTTTATAAGTAGTAAAATTCTTACATAAAATAGCTAGTTTCCCATTGTCTGTCTCCACTATTAAGGATATTTACCTGCACACACATGGGATATAGTAATTTTTTATTGATATTTAACTTTTCTCTGTTTTTAAAATTTAATATTTTAATATTTGTTTTTATAGTGATGATTGCCATCATTTTGGATTAGAGGAGCCTAACTTCTCTCTGGCTTACAGTACCTCTAAAGACATTGAGAGCTGTGCACAAACTTGGGCCCTTTATGAAGAGTTTCAGCAAGGATTTCAGGAAATGGCCAATGAGGACTGGATTACTTTTCGGTTTGATTAAAAAGCAATATTTAGATTATAATTTGGTAGTTTGATTTTTGAATGTAAATTTTAAGATGTGTTTTTGGTATTTTATAGGACTAAGACATATCTGTTTGAGGAATTTTTGATGAATTGGCATGACAAATTAAGGAATATGGAAGAACATTCAGGGATGACAGTGAAATTACAATCAGAAGTTGACAAATATCAGGTAAGATTGTTTTGTGTATTCTGCTAATTGAAAATGATGTTGGGCCGGGCTCGGTGGCTCAGTCTGTAATCCCGCGCCTTTGGGAGGCTGAGGTGAGTGGATTGCCTGAGCCCGCGGGTTCGAGACCCGCCTGGGCAGCGAGACCTCATCTCTACAATAAATCAAAAGAAAATCAGCCAGGAGTGGTAGTGCATTCCTGTAATTCCAGCTACTCGGAAGGCTGAGGTGGAAGGCTGAGGCGGAAGGATCGCCGGAGCCCAGCGAGGCTGCGGTGGCCGGAAGCGGCCACTACACTCCAGTCTGGGCGACAGAGTGAGACTCCAACTCAAAAAATAAAAAAAATAAAAAGAAACTGATGATGTTGGGAGTTTTCATTTATCTTTTTATTATATAGTGCCTGAATTATAATTTTAGTTTATTTATTTTCCAATTAAATTATTTCATTGCATGAAGAAAATAAGAAACATAGAATAAACCATAGAAATGATTGATATTTCTGCTGCCAGTTAGAAAGAAGTTATAAGTAAGAAATTTATGATTAAAGTGAAAAAAATAGAGATTTATACATCCTAGCGCAACATGAGTCATATCCTAAAATAATAAAAAATAGAAATATTTTTTGTGAAGTTTTAAAATACAGAGAACTGCAAAAAGTAATTTGTATGTATTTAGAGCAATGTTTAATAAAAAGTTTTATACAGTTATGTTTGGGAATATGATTTAACGATTTTTAAACAAGATGATGGCATATTTAAAATTTTGGATGATAATTGCCATAAAAGTAAATACTAATGTAATGCATGTTTTGCTAATATATATGTATTGTGTATTTACATATACCTTTTTATTTTTTTATTTTTTAACAGATTGTAATTCCTATCTTGAAATATGTGAGAGGGGAGCATCTGTCTCCAGATCACTGGCTTGACCTTTTTCGTCTACTTGGCCTTCCGAGGGGGACTAGTCTAGAGAAATTACTGTTTGGTGATTTGCTCAGAGTTGCTGACACAATTGTAGCCAAAGCTGCAGACCTTAAAGTATGAATCATGTATATAAATATTTCATAAATCTGATCTTTAAGTTCAATTTTGCTTCATATTTTTGTTGTTTAAGAAAAATAGCAACTTAGCTTTTTTCTTCCCTTAAAATAGTGATGGTATTTCATTATTTCGTTACTAATGCATCCAAATCTGTCTGGCATTGTGCATGTGGATATGAAAACAATGCAGCTGAAATCTCTTCTTTGTGAGGGAAAAAATATGAAATACCAAAAAAGTGTTCCTTCAAGAAGGAGTCAGTTTTAATTGAAAAAAGGCAAATACAGATCATTTTGTATAAAATACATTTAAAATCATGTGATATGTTACAAATAGAAGCCAGGGGATACAGAATTTGAGACTAAACCAAGAGCCAGTTTGCTAATCAAGTTTAGAAAAGGTCTCAGATAAAAGTAAGAGTTGTCACAATTCTTGGCAGACTTTCTATGTTGCATCTATCTGACTATTCAAAAATATAAAGACTCTTGATATACTTCCTATCCAAAAAGTAAATCTTCACATTTGTTAGTAGTCCTGGAACATGTTTAGATAATCTTGAGACGTTATAAAGAATGCCTTCTCCAGGAGATAACTTTAGTTGATTGTTAATCATTTTAGATGTATCAGAATTTACAGTAACATTTCTGAAGTTCTGCTTTACCAATTCTTGGCCTTTTGATATACAAAACTTTAAATAAGTCAGATTTGTTTTGTCTTTTGTGATGGTTGCTTGAATTTTCTGCTTTTCTTGTCTAGAAGTAAAAAAGTATAGGTAGAACTTTGTATATACTTTGACCAGGTGAACCAGGATATTTAGTATCTAATATGCTTTGGTACAGTAGCCAGTAATTCTCTTGGATTACATGTAAAATATATCTACTTAATTTATTTTTTGCCCATGATGGAAAGCCAGATAAAATATATTTTCTTATAAAATGTATTTTTAATGACTTACTTGTGTGATGAAATTAATTAATATTGAAATAAATATGGCTATTTTGTGTTAAATAGGATTTAAATAGTCGGGCACAAGGTGAAGTTACAATCAGAGAAGCTTTACGTGAACTTGATCTTTGGGGAGTTGGAGCAGTGTTTACATTGACTGATTATGAAGACAGCCAAAGTCGAACTATCAAGCTGATTAAAGACTGGAAAGATACAGTAAATCAGGTTGGAGATAACCGATGCCTTCTTCAGTCCTTAAAGGATTCTCCTTATTATAAGGGATTTGAAGATAAAGTGTCAGTTTGGGAAAAAAAACTTGCAACATTAGATGAGTACCTGCAGAATTTAAATCATATTCAGAGAAAATGGGTATATTTGGAACCCATTTTTGGCCGAGGGGCATTGCCAAAAGAACAGACACGCTTCAACAGAGTTGATGAAGATTTTAGGTCAGTAAAACCATGTACAACATAGACACATATGACAGTTTTTTGCTCATTCATATTTTGAAGTGCTAAATACAAGCTTTACTTGTACATTGGTGTTCTCTGTGTATTCAGCCTCTTTCTCTGGTGGGTCCTTTGAGAAGCTGTTACTCTCATTCAAGCATTTTTATTTTTTGAACCATTTTGGTTTGGTCACTGTCATTACCATTCTACCTAATATACATATATATACACTTCCTAAAATCACCAGTTACCTTTCTATTTTAAATTCAGTGGACAGTTTTCATTTCTTATTTTACTTTATTTCTCAGTAGTATTTAAAAGGACTGAGTGTTTCTTTTTCTTGTTAAGTCTGTTCTTTCCCTTGGCTTCTATGACGTTATCCTGTCTTGGTTTTCTGACAATCTCTCTGGTCTCCTGCTAGTACCTAGTTCTCTGCTCTCTCCACATCTTCAACCTTCAGTCCGTTTCTCACTTTGTACTCTCTCGCTAGGTCATCTCAGCCACTCTCAGTGTCAGTTTTCTTCTGTTTGCTGAGGTCTCCTCCACTGATATGAACAGCCCATATTTCTCTTCTGAGCTTCAAATCTACTGAGGATTCTCAGCCAATAGGTCAAAACTGAATTCACGAGCTTACTCCCCAGTAATTGCGCAACATTTTTCTCTTTCTATTCCTGTCTTGCTATGTGGCATCATGTATTTGCTGAAAGCAGGAGTGTGTTGGACATCTTTGATCTCTTCCTCTCCCTCCTTTCTATACACAATTAAGTTACCAAATTTTGTATCTGTTTACTTACCTACTGTATCTTGAATCGAACACCTTTTCTATCCGAGCTTCTTCCATTCTGTTTTGAAATTCCTTATTCTCTCACTTGGACTACTGCATCCTGATTTGATCTTGCATATAAGTTTTTCACACAACAGCCAGAGCAATTGTTTAAAAATGCAGTGTCAGCACTTCTTTCTTTGACTCTGGTGAGTAAAACTTTAAATGGTTTCCCATTGCTCCAGAGATAAAGCATGAACTCCTCGTTGCTTAGTTCTTTCTTTTTCTTGTGCTGCTCTCCTTTGTGTTTTGGTGACTCGGCCTTTAGTTCCTCAGACGTGAACAGCTCTTTCCCAGGATTTTTGCCAGAAACTCCTTCCTGCTCATTGGCTTTTTACTCATCACTCGTTTATCAGCTGAAAGCATTTCCTCAAAGAAGTCTTAGGTTATAGATTGCCTGTTAGCCACTTTGTGCTTTTCTTCTTAGTATTTGTCACAATTTTAGTTAAACATTTTGAGAAATTATTTTAATGTCTTTCTCTTCACTGTATCATTAACTCTATGGGGTAGGGCTTCATTTTTGTTCAGTAAATGAATATATAAGATAATTTGTAATGTGGGAATTTAAAAATGGTAATGGGATGTTATTATTTTTTGGCATTATTTATTAGAGGCATAATGATATATTACTGTTATGATAGTGTTATCTCTAGTTTGTTTCAAGCAGTCAAAAAAATGTAATCTCCCTCTCTTAGCCATAAAATTGTTAAAATAGATGTGAAAATAATTTTTTTTTCTTTTGTAGATCTATAATGTCCGACATCAAGAAGGACAACAGAGTCACAACATTAACTACTCATGCAGGAATCAGAAATTCTCTACTAACGATTCTTGATCAGCTTCAGAGATGTCAGAAATCATTAAATGAATTTTTGGAGGCATGTTTTTTTAAGAAACTCTATATGTAAATTGTAAAGTAATTAATATCTTAATTATTTAAAAAGAGAAAGCTATTTTCTTGTTTTTATTTTTATTAGGAAAAACGGTCAGCATTCCCAAGATTTTATTTCATTGGTGATGATGATTTATTAGAAATATTGGGCCAGTCTACCAACCCATCAGTGATTCAGTCTCATCTTAAGAAGCTATTTGCTGGTAGGAGTCAACATTTATTTGACAAATATTAATGAATTTCATCTATGTGCCAGGCCTAATTTTAGGCTTTTAGACTATTGAATTAAATATAGTTCATCCACTCAAATAACTTACAGTTTAATGGGGGAGACAAAGTTGTAAGTTTACACATTCAATACAGTGTGACAATTTCTGTGATTGACATACGCATGTGTACATCTGGGAGGGCATTTAGCTGAGATGTAGGGCATCATGGAGAAGGCGACAGCTATGATGAGATCTGAGGAATGCATAGACAGGCAGAGGGAAGACTGTGCAGAGGCCTGGAGTGAAGGAGATCATGCCCCTTCATTGCTGAGTTGAAGGTCTCCTGAGAGACATCCAACGCGATATCGTCAGCGGAGAGACCTGGATGAGGCTGTGGGGTTGGGAATCATTGTGCAGAGGCGACACTTGAGCTATGGGGGTGGGTGAGAGCACTTGGAGGAAAGTGTGGTTAGCCGTGTGCTTTGATGTTGCTGAGCCACTTCCATGGGTTATTTATTAGCGGCACATAGAATAGATTGGTTGTAAAAATGATGACTTACTTTCTCAAACTATTTCATTGCTTGAAAAGAGCAAGCAAACGAGTCTATGTGTAGAGCAAGCAGCTCTATGGAAAGAGCTATAGTTTTTTTCAAAGTGAATTTAAGAAGTGAAAGATTTCCATTATTTTTGCTTATAATCAGGGTTCAACAAAATGTAGCCCATGGACCAAATCTGGCTCACTACCTGTTGTTCTGCAAATAAAGTTTTGTTGAAACATAACTATGCCTGGTAGTTTATGTATTGTCTGTGGCTGTTTTTATGTTGTGAGTGCAGACTTGAGTTGTAGACAGATCGTAGGGCCCATTAAATTTAAGATGTTTACTCTCTGGCCTTTGCAGAAATGTTTACCGACTCCTGTGTATCTGAAGGCATAGGATGGTTAAATCTATAACTTTGATTTGGGCGATGGGAAGTGTTGAAAGAGCTCTTGAAATCCAAAGGCGTGCATTTAAGCTCTGTCTCTGCTAGTTATTACTCAGTACTCATTTACCTTTCTAAAATTTAGTTTTCTTTATATTGCAAATGATAACTTAGGTTTTTTCCTGAAGAGCAGAAGGAGGTAATATGTTTTAAGTTTTTTACATACATAAAGTGGGATGTCAGTTCAAATGGGGAAGGGTCGTTTTATTTGTCCTCCCTTTTCCCCTTATCTTTTTGTCTCTTGTCTAAGCTCTCTATAATGATGTTGGTACTACCTCTTCTAGGAAAGTGATTTTAGTACTTTAAAAATAACTTTACTGACATAATTTACACATCATACATGCTTATATTGTAAGTGTATGGTTTGATGAGTTTTGACACATATATTCACTTGTTTAACTACCACTCCAGACAAGATAGAAAACGTTTTCCTTTCCATCAACAGAGAGAGTTTCTCAGGCTCCTGGGGTCATTTCCACCCTCTTCTCTTCCTGCTTCACTCTGTTCCAGGAAGCACTGATCTGATTCCTATCACTGTAGATTAGTTTCTGCCGTTTCTAGAAGTATATTTAAGTAAATTATCAGTCTGCATTATTATTATTATTATTTTTGAGTCAGTCTCTATCTGTCGCCTAGGTTGGAGTGCAATGGCATGATTATGGCTACTGCAACCTCGACTTCTGGGCTCAGGCTATCCTTCCACCTCAACATTCCAAGTAGCTGGGACTACAGGCACATGCCATAATGCCCAGCTAATTTTTTTTTAACTATAGAGATGAAATCTTGCTAAGTTGCCTAGGCTGGTCTTGAACCCCTGGGCCCAGGAAGTCCTCTCACCCTTTCCTCCCAAAGTGCTGGAATTAAAGGCATGAGCCACTGCCCTGGCAATCGGTCTATATTCTTATGCACTAATTTGTGTCTGGCATTTTTTGCTCAGCATATTTTCTTGAGATACTTAAAATTATATTTCACTCCTATTCTTTGCTGAATAGTATTCCATTGTTTGAATATACCACAGTTTATCCATTTAGCTGTTGATGGACATTTGGGTTATTTCCAGTTTTTGGCTATCATAAATAAAGCTGTTGTGAACATTCATGCAAGTCTTTTTGTGGATATATGTTTTGTTTCTATTGGATCAATATGTACTTGTGGAATTCCTAAGTCATTTAGTAAGTATATGTTTAATTTTTAAAGAAATTGCCAAGTCATTTTCCAGAGAGATTGTAACATTTTAGACTCCTACCAAAAGGGTATTAGTTAGGACATTTCTTACTGATTGATTAGTGTGCATTTGTTGAGAAGGTTGCCTAAAATTGTTTCTGGAAAATGGTGGGAATGAATGAATTAAGAGACCTACAGATATCTAAATGCACAGTAAAACTACCAATGAGTTGTGTCATGAATAGTTTGTATTGATAAGAAATATTTTAAAATAATGATAAGAATATCGATCAAGAAAGTGATTTTTTTCTCACTAGGACATTTAAATACTAGGAACACTACATATTATGTGAGATACATTATAATTCTATTACATTATAATATATATTATGGGTTACATATTATATATTGTGATATACATAGATCTAGTAATTATATTTTTAATCCTTTTGCATTTAAATCGTTGCTTTTGGTATTACAGGTATTAACAGTGTATGCTTTGATGAAGAATCAAAACATATAACAGCAATGAAGTCTTTAGAGGGAGAAGTTGTACCTTTTAAAAATAAAGTTCTTCTATCAAATAATGTAGAAGTAAGCAATTCTTTTTTAAATATGTAAATAAAAAGAATTAAGTATGTGAACTTTGTATAAGAAATAGTTTAGGAGAGTAAAATTGGTCAATTTAGATCTTTTAGGAAATTCATCTCATATCTTTTATTAGGCTTAAAGTGTTTTGATGTTAAAAACAATATCACATTTCATTTTTTGGAAGGCTGCATGTAATTATGAAAAGAACACTGGCTTTGAGAAAAAAAGATTTGGGTGTTAATCTTAGCTCTACAACTTATTAGGGTATTAATCTTAACTCCACAACTTTATTAGCTGTGTGAATTAGAGACTTAGTTTTCTTATCAGCAAATGGGAATCTCAGTACAGGTTGAGCATCTATTGTCCAAAATGCTTGGGACCAGACGTCTTTCAGATTTCTGAGTTTGTTGGATTTTGGAATATTTGCATTTTACTGGTTTAGCATCCCTAATCTAAAATTCAGAATGCTCCAATAAGCATTTCCTTTGATGATCATATCTAGTTCAACAAGTTTCTGATTTTGAAACATTTTTGAATTTCAGATTTTTGGATTAGAGATGTTCAACTCTATCTGTTGCAAAGACTTTCTGTTGAAAATTGAATTAGATACTGGGCTTTAAATCAATATACCATATAGTGCTTGCAACATAAGTATTCAAGAAATTTTAGCTATCTTGACTTTTTAAAATACAAATTGTACAAGATGATTCGGGTGAACAAGTAAGCTTGAAACAAGTGCATTTATAGAACAACTATCATTCTGCAGGCCTGAAAGTGAATGATCAAAGGCCTATTATAGGCATACAGCTAAAACCAACCAGCAATAGGTTGCATCACATTAATTGTAATTTTCCGGTCCCAAAATTATCTTCTAACTAATAATTAGGACCATGCTTTATCATGTGCATATCTTTCTTTTAATTTTTATTTTAAAGATGTGGGGTACAATTCAGGGTTAAGTATATAAGTTGTCATTATATAAAGCTTGGGCCTCCCTTTGGTCCCCACTTTGCCTGGTTTGGGATCAGGTATCTTTACTGATGTTGTGTCCCTCCCCAACCCTGGCCATATCCCGTTACTGCCAATCCTTTTCTTACAGTATTATGGTAAATGTTCAGGGTCCGCATATGAGTGAGAACATGTGGTACTCTGTTCTTTGTTTCTGTGATAGATCAGTAAGTATCATGGTCTCTAAATCCATTCACGTTGCTACAAAGTCCATATGTTTATCCTTCTTTATGGCTGTGTAATATTCCATTGTGTATATGTACCACATTTTTTTTTATCCAGTCCAGTTTCGATGGGCAGCATGCTTGGTTCCATGTTTTTGCTATTTTGAATAGTGCTGCAATAAACATGCATGTGCAGGTACCTTTTTTGTAGAATGATTTGAGTTCCTCCAGGTATATTCCCAGTAGGGGGATTGCCGGGTTATATGGAAGGTCAATGTCTAATTCTTTTAGAAATCGACAAAGAGGTTGAACTAGTTTGCATTCCCACCAGCAATGTAGAAGAATTCCTTTTTTTCAACATCCTCACCAGCACCTGTTGTTGTTTGTTTTATTAATGATGACCATTCTTACTGGGGTTAGGTGGCTTCTCAGTGTGGTTTTGATATGCATTTCTTTCATGATTACTGAGGCTGAGCACTTTTTCCTGTGTCTGTTGGCTGCCCATATATGTTCTTTTGAGAAGTGTCTATTCATGTCTGTCTCCCACTTTTTAATGGAGCTGTTTGTTTTTTTTCCTCTCCACATGTTTGAGTTTCTTAGAGATCCTGGATGTTAGGCCTTTGTCAGATATACAGTTGGCAAGTATTTTTCCCATTCTGTGGGTTGTCTCCCCACTTTTGATGTTTTTTTGCTTTGCAGCGGCTATTCAGTGTGATGAAGTCCCAATTGCCTATCTTACCTCTCATGGCCAGGGCACTTTGGGTTTTGATCAGGAATTGGTTGCCAGTTCCAATTTCTATAAGGGTATTGTCTACATTTTCTAAGATTCTTATAGTTGAAGGTTTTATGTTTAGGTCTTTGATCCATATAGAGTTGATTTTTGTGTATGGTGATAGGTAGGGGTCCTGTTTCAATCTTGTGCATGTGGTCAGCTAGTTTTCCCAGCATCATTTACTGAATAGGTTCTTCTCTCCCTAGTGGTTGTTAGTGGAGGCTTTGTTGAAGATGAGTTGGTTGAGAAATTGAGGTTTTGCTTCTGGAATCTCTGTCCTGTTCCATTGGTCCATATACCTATTCTTGTACCAATACCAGGCTGTTTTGGTTATTGTAGCCTTATAATAAAGTTTAAAGACTGGAAGTATGATACTTCCTGCTTTGTTTCTTTTGCGAGGATTGTTTTAGCTATTCGTGGTCATTTATATTTCCATTTGAATTTCTTTATTGTTTTTTCCAGGTCTGAGAAGAATGGTGTTGGTAATTTAATTGATATTGTGGTGAATCTGTAGATTGCCTTTGGTAGGATGGACATCTCAACAATGTTGATTCTTCCAATCCATGAGCATGGAATAGTTTTTCATTTGTTTGTGTCTTCTTGGATTTCTTTGAGCAGTGTTTTGTAGTTCTCATTGTAAAGGTCTTTCACTTTTCTGGTTAGGAAGATGCTGACGTATTTCATTTTTTTGTGTGACTATTGTGAATGGGATTGTGATTTTTATTTGGTTCTCTGCCTGCTTGCTGTTGGTGTATAAGAACGCAACTGTCTTTTGCACTTTTATTTTTACCCCGAGACTTTGCCAAAGTCCTTTATCAGTGAAAGCAGCTTATTGACAGATTTTCTTGGGTTTTTGAGGTATTATAGGATGATATCATTGGCAAAAGAGGGATAACTTAACTTCTTCTTTTCCCATTTGGATATCCCTGATTTCTTTCTCTTGTCTAATTGCTCTAGCTAGGACTTCCAACACAGTGTTGAACAAGAGGGGTGAGAGTGGTCAGCCTTGTCTTGTTCTGATTTTCAGGGGAAATATTTCCAGTTTCTGTGCATTTAGCAATATGCTATGCATTTATTGTAGATGGCATTTACTATTTTGAGGTATGTTCCTCTATGCCTAGGTGTTTGAGGGTTTTTAATCAAGAAGGGATACAAGATTTTATAAAAAACTTTTTTTGCATCTAATGATATAATCATGTGGTTCTTGTTTTTACATCTGTTGATGTATTTAATTACATTAATGGTCTTGTGAATGTTGAACCAGCCCTTCATCCTGGGGATGAAGCCTACCTGGTCATGGTGGATGATTTTTGAGATATGTTGTTGGATCTCATTTGCTAGAATCTTGGAGAATTTTTTGTCTGTGTTCATTAGGGATACTGGCCTGTAGTTCTCTTTTTTTGTTGGATCTTTACCCAGTTGAGTATTAGTGTGATGTTAGCTTTGTAAAATGAGTTGGTGCGCATTCTTTCTCAATTGCCTGGAATACTTTCAGTAGGATTTGTATCAGCTCTTCGTTGTACGTACTGTAGAATTCCGCTGGGAAGCCATCTTGTCCAGGTTTTTTTTTTTTTTTTTGGTGAGTAGTTTTCTTATGATGAAGTCAATTTCCTGGGTTGTTATTGGTCTATTTAATGTCTCAATATCTTCCTGTTTCAACCTTGGGATGTTGTGTGATGTCAAAAAGTCTTCCATTTTATTTTGGTTATCAAGTTTGATTCTATACAGGTGTGCATAGTGATCTCTGATAATCTTTTGTATTTCTTTGGGGTCAGTTGTGATTTGATCTTATTGTGTTTATTTGGACTTTTTCTCTCTTGGTCATTCTAGGTAGGGGTCCATCAGTCTTGCTTTTTCTTTCAAAGAACCAAAGTTAAGTTCGGGTTTTGGTGGACCTGTCTGTCCAGCTCTCTTAGGTGATTTGTTAGGCTGTTAAGCTGTGATCTTTCCATTTTCTTGATGTATGTTCATAGGGATATAAATTCCCCTCTTAGAGCTGTTCTCATGGCATCCCATAGGTTTTGGTAGGATGCCTCTTCATTTTCATTTATTTACAGGAATCTTTTAGTTTCTGTTTTGATTTCTGTGTTGACCCAGTAGTTGTTCAGCATCATGCTGTTTAGTGTCCATGTCTTTGTGGGTTTTGAGGGAATTTTGTCATTGTTAATATTTATTTTTATTCTACTGTGGTCTGAAAGGTGCATGGCAGTGTGTGATCCTATGAAATTTGGTTTTGCTTGATTTATGGCTGAGGATGTTTGATCTTGGAGTACATTCCATGTGGTGATGAGTAGAAAAATGTATATTCTTTTGTTGCTTTGTGGAGTATTTTGTAGGTATCTATTAAGTGCATTTGGTTGAGCATCAAGTTGAGGTTTTGGCTCTCTTTGTTGATTTTTTGCCTTGATGATCTGTCTGTGGTTGTTAGTGGGGTATTTAAGTCCCCAGCTGTAATAGTGTTAGAGTCAATATCTTTTTTTAGTTTACTTACTATTTGCTTTATAAACACTGGTACTTCTCTGTTGGGTTGCATGTATGTTTAGTTTGGATATTTCTTGTTGATGGATTCAACCTTTTATCATTATGTACTACCCTTCCATATGTTGTTAAATTTTTGATAGCTTAAGGGTTATTTTGTCTGATATTAAGATCGTGACTCCTGCCTTCTTTTGTGATCCATTCACCTGGAAACTCATTTTCCATTTACTAACTTTGAGTCTGTGAGCTTCCTTTATGGTGAGATAAGTTTCCTGATGCCGCTACTTATTAGGTCATGATTTTTTATCCAGTTTGCCATTCTGTGTCTTTTCATTGGTGCACTTAGTCCATTCACATTCAGGCTGATTATTGAAATGTGATCGTTTATCTCTGTCTTGAGGTTCTTATAAAATTTTTTTCTTTGTTTTCTTTTAGCTTTTGGGTTGATGCATGTGTATTTTTTTTCAAGTTTGCAGGCTTAATGTAGTCCCTGTTGATTCTCTGTTCTGCTGTTCTCTTGGGAAGTACGTAGTCATTCTTTTTTTTCTTTCTTCTGTGCCTAATACCTTTTAAGCATCTGTCATAGAGCTGGTCTGGAAGCTGCATAATCTCTTAGGGATTAGATGTCTGGGAAGGATTTTAGTTTTCCATCTCTGATGAAGCTGAGCTTCGCTGGGTAGGAAATTCTTGGTTGAAATTGTTTATCTTTGAGGACTTTGAATATTGAACTCCAGTCCTTTCTAGCTTGTAGTGTTTCTGCTGATAGGTCTGCTGCTTTTCTGATTGGTTTTCTCCAGTATGTAGTCTGACCTTTCTCTCTTGCTGCCTTTAGGATTTTTTCTTTTGTGCCTCCTTTTGTAGGTGAATTACTCTATGTTTAGGGGTTGGTCTTCTCATTTGATGTCTTGCAGGGGTTCTCTGTATCTCTTGTGTTTGGATGGTCACATATCTGGTGAGATGGGAAAAGTTTTCTTGGATAACCTCCTGGAATACTTGCTCCAAGGTATTCTCCATTTCCCTTTCTTCTTCTGGGATGCCAGTCAGGCAGAGATCAGCCTCTTGATATTATCACATCTCTTGTAGGCTTTATTCTTTCTTTCTATGTTTTATACAGATTGGCTAATTCTATGTTTTGGTCTTCAAGTTCTGAGATTCTTTCTTCTGCTAGATTAATTATGCTTTCCATGCTTGTCATCTTGTTATTTACTTCCTGAATGAATGTTTTTATGCCCCAAATCTTTGTTACAAGTTCTTTCAGTGTTGCATCTTGTCTTTCTTGAGTCTTATTCACTCTTTTTATCCATTCCCTAATCTTATTTGTTTTCTGGGGCCAGTCATTGGTGACTTCTATTCTTTGGGCTCTGTGGTCTGATTTTTCAGGCGTTTTCTCTTTGAAACACTGCTTTCCATTGATTTTTCTTCATTTATGACAGTTCTTCTTTTCTCTGTAGTTCTGTTATTCAGTGGCAGTGGGAGAGGCTTTCACTTCTGTTTTCTCAGTCCTCTATTGTTTCCTGATCAGGGTTCTGAATTTGTTCTACTTTGAAACAGTGCTGTGGTTGAGAAGCTTTGCTGTCTCTTGTTGTTTTGAGAGTTGAATAAAGTGGGGGATGGGGAGCTAGGATTCAGAAACTACTCACAAATCACAGTGTTCACTGATTGTGGTATGGGTTCTCTGAGACTCAGTCCCACCACCACTCTTTATGATGCCGCCGTGGTATGTCTGTGTACGCCCTGAATCCAAGATGCAGTAACAGCAATGAGGAGAACAGATAAAAGTAGAATAAAATAAGATTGACAGAAATTAAAGAAATAAAATAAAAAATTCCACAGAACAAGGTCAGAAACCAAAGCAAAAAACAGTTAAACACATACATAGACACACACACACACACACACATACACACACACACACACACACACACACACACACACACACACCCAAAACTAACTGGAATAACAACAAAGCAAAACAAACAAAAAATAACAGCAAGAAAACCAGACACACACACATACCCAACCCAAAATGAAAGGAGATGAAAAGAGGAAAAAAGAAAAGACAGAAATTCAAATTGAACCCGCACACATGTATTCGTGCACACAAAGAGAAGATTGAAAAACAAAAATAAACAAACAAAAAAACGGAAAGGTGACCACTCAATCCTTCATGTACACACATAAACAGAAAACAAAAAACAAAAGAAGAAATAAAGAAAAAGAGGAGGAAAAAGAAAGATGGGGGAGATGCATATTGATCCTTCACATACACATTTGTGCACAAATGACACATTAAAAAAATGATAAAACAATTATACAGACAAAAAACTCCTGCCCTCTGGTGGCAGCTTCTGTAGTTGTTCCTCTCAGCTGCCACTCTGCTGTCTCCTGCAAAGCTTCAACCTCATTCAAAATCTCCCGTCTGGCCCAGGGAAGGAGGAGGGGGCAGTGGGAGTGGGTAGGGCTTCAGGCCTCCTTTCCCACTCTAGTATGGTCAGGGGGATCTCCTCTGGTGGGGAGGTGCGGGATTGTCTCTTTCCCAGGTTCGGGTGTGGGGGGAGTGTGCCCCAGCGTGGCTTATCCCGGAGTGGAGTCCTCCTATTGCGACTGATGTCCAGGTTTCGCCTGGATTCGTCCCTCTCAGTCGTGGCCCAGCGGTGTGGGACTGATGTTCAGAGGACTGCTGTGGAGGAGGTGGTTGGGTCAGCCCCTGACTCACCATTGATCTGATTGGAGGTCTTCCTTATCCTTTTCTGGCCACACCCTTTGTCCTGAAGCTGAATCAGAGTAGGGGGTGGGGCATCCAAGACTCAGCACTCATCCTGTCCCTCCAGAGTTTGTGCTTTCAGGATATTCCCTCTGGGTCACCATCCACCTCTGAGTAGTTAATCCACTGGTTTCAGAGATCGGGTTGGGTCTATCACTCTGTGGTGAGCAAGCTGGAGCACTTTCCTGCCCCGTTTTCAAGATGGTGGCAAGTTGCCTCTTTCATCTTCTCCAGTGGGGCTCTGCCTCTGGGCTTCCTTGCTGTGCTCCTTCAGCAGTCCTTGCTGTCAGTGTCCAGCCAGGCGCTGCAGTGGTGAGGCAGAGCCTGGAGCTGACAGTCTGTCTCGGCAGCTTCTTCCCGAGAAGGGCTTTGTTGATTTTAAAAAAGTGGCGCTTGGCTTCTGTGTCCCGGGAAGCATTAGGGACCAAGCAGAGCAGCTGTGGTACCAGCTGCTTCACCAGGAAAGCCCTGGCCACTTACTCCCAAGTCCCTACTCAGCCACTCACATGTCCACTTAACGACATGTTTGCAAAATTTTCAATACACTCACTCACTTACACTGGGACTCAATCCGACTGCCTCTGCTGCCATCTTCCTGAGACTCTGCATGTGCATGTCAGTAGAGTACAGCAAAGTACTTATTCCTGGCCAGTCCTCAACGTTTTATTGGATATTGTGTACATAAACCAGGTGATTGATAGCATAGAAGGTTTGCTAAGTAGCTCTCAAGTTTGGTTAAGATTTTTTTTCTTGTTTTTTTTTCCCCCCTGTAGTTTTGTTAGAACTACAGAGAGATGAAAATCTTAAATTTTAGTAACGGGGCTGGAGCAGGTATGCCAGCAAAGGAAAAGCTGAAACTCTGGAAGCTCTTGTGATGATGAGGAGAGTAGGTGTGTCTCTTGCCTTGTACTGCTCACTCTTTAGCTGCAGTGACTTTTGAGATAGCTAAAATTTGATGCTCTTTTCACTACTGGAACATGCCCTACAGATGAAAACATAGCTAGACTTAGATTTAATTTAAGGAAATAATGATGAAAAACTAAGATTATAGTTTTTGCCCTTCTATTTTAATGCAAATGATACTTTTAAAGAAGTGATCATAAACATTCATTGTTTCTATCAATCTTCACTATTATCTTAATTTTAATTTATTTTTATTTGTAATCAAGTGGTGGAATCTCTTGTTTTGACACTAGAACAAAATTAGTTTGCACCTTAAGGTAACCTAGTGTCTCCAAAGAATATGGTTCTCCCTGATGAAGCAATCTCTTTTCTATGGTTACAACTTTCTTACAACGGGGATAGCATGAGCCAGGGGACTTGGCCAGCCTTTGACCCTCATGTATTGGCCCAACTCTCTGGTTCTGATTCATCATGATTATGAAATGAATGGGATACTTCTTTTTTTTTTTAAGTTAGGGTCTTACTCTTTTGCCCAGACTGAAGTGTAATATCTGACTGCGGCCTCAAACTACTGTGCTCAAGCAGCCCTCACTCCTCAGCCTCTTAAATAGCAGGGACTAGAGAAATGCACCAGCATGCCCAGATACTTTTTTTTTTTTTTTTTTTTTGTAGAAATTAGTTCTTGCTGTGTTGCTCAGGCTGGTCTCAAGCTCCTGGGCTCACGCAATCCTCTTGCCTTGGCCTCCCAAAGTTCTGGGATTATAGGTGTGAGCCACTGTGCCCAGCCTGGGCTACTTTTTAAATGTTTGTATTATATTGGCTTGTATAGATACAGTTAGGATAGTGATAGCCACAGATTTTTGAGATTTCATACTCATCCCTAGCTCTGAAAATAATGTTTTCTTTAGATTTTTAAACTGCTTATTAATAAAATAAAGAAATATATACCTATAACACATTTTGGGAGTGTGATAGTCAGTAAGAAATTGTATACCCTCTCCTGAAATAAAAGAATAGAGTTAGTCATTAGATGATATATTTGTTCTATGTCTTATTTTCAGGCTTGGTTGAATGATTTGGCCTTGGAAATGAAGCAAACTTTGGAACAGTTGTTGAAGGAATGCGTTACTACCGGGCAAAGTTCTCAAGGTGCAGTCGACCCATCTTTGTTCCCTTCACAGGTAAGGGGCTTATGTCTAGAGGTAGGATGGTATCACGGCCAGGTCTCCAACCTAGGGCTCAGGAGGCTCAGATAACTGGCGTCGTTGGTCACCCGTCGCCTAAGAGTTAACAGTCAGTGGACAATCTGCTCAGCTTTAAGGTCTCAGTTCCCTCAACTATGAAATGTGGGGATGAACTACGTGATCGTGAAGTTCTCTGCTGGCCCCATTAACCTGCTGTGATTCAGGTGCTTTCAGGTGAGGGCATGCTGAGATCCACGCAGCCTAGGCTGGTGGTAAGTCGGATGGGGAGGGGGAATCGAGCATGTGGAGCTTCCCATTCCAGATGATTAGTCCATCTTTGACAGAGAGGCACAGGATCTTTCACACTGCTGTCTCCTACCCTCTACCTATCCTGTGGGATCACCTAAGAGGGTGGAGCTGGCAGGAGCTTAGCAGGGTTAACTTAGGTGCGAAACAGTTACAACACGGGACTGGAAAATAGGTGGGAATTTGAGAGCTGGGTCATGTGGTAGGTTGCAGAGATTGCTGCAGCTAAGGGCAAGTATGACCTCCCCCCGGAACACTGGAGACTTGAACATTTGCCCAATCCATGTCAAAATGCAGCACAAAACATCCTGCCTTGTTCAGCAGTTGGTCCAGTTTGAGGCTACAGGTATAGGTCATCGGGAACTTTGATTCTCAGGGACCTTGAAAGGTGAGCATTGGGATGTTCTGTGATTTCTCACAGAAGAATCTACCCAACAGCTCTCAAAGGTACTTGCTTTTCAGATAAAAACGTGTTCCAATAGCTACTAAAAAATTTAGTAGCTATTAGAACACGTTTTTATCTTGGTTCTTTTAAAGTATGGAAGGTTGGAGCATTTTAGGTTCTGAGCTATTTTATGGTACATACCTTTTGTATCCTTTAGCATTTTGAGGCAAACTAAAGTGTGTTTTTAAAAATCTTGCTAAATTCTTAGAGAAAAATAAATGTAATCATCACTGAATAATCAGTGACATTATAAAGTCAGGGTAAGGTACTTTATTACCTCTGAAAATGTTTCCTAGTATTCTGTCAACTTTCAGATAAAATTTAAGCCAACTCAGAATAAAAGACTCAACATAAAAAAAAAAATCTATAGAAGCAAGAGTTGCATAATAATTAGATTAGGAAGATGACAGTTCTGTCAGGAGACGTAGTGTAGTGGGAGACACAGACTCAAGGAAGTTGCTGAATTTTAGCCTGCCACTTCCCTCAAGGCCCTGGAGCAGTCAAGCAAAAGTGTGAACTACTAAAAATGTTAATAGTTCATCAGTTACCAAACAAATAATCCTAGTTTACTAGCAGTTGATGTTAAAAATATTTATCTTGCTGGGCTTGATGGCTCAAGCCTGTAATCCCAGCACTTTGGGAGGCCAAGGCGAATGGATTGCTTGAGCCCGCAAGTTCGAGACCAGCCTCAGCAACTTGGTGAGACATCGTCTCTACAGTAAATTAAAAAAATTAGCTGGGCATGGTGGTGCGTTCCTGTAGCTCTAGCTACTTGGAAGACTGAGGTGGAAGGATTGCCTGTGCCCAGCAGGTTGAGGCTGTGGTGGCAGTGAGCATGCCACTGCACTCCAACCTGGGCAAGAATGAGACTCCAACTCAAAAAAAAAGAAATATTTCTCTCAAGAGCATTTATCTAAGGGGATTGAATAGTATAACTGGTCTACAGGAATTTCTGGTACAGGGTATTATCTACTGATAGTTCAGTTCCCTTTTTGCAAGGACCTGGATTAATGTAGAGAAGGCATTTCCTGGTCTGGGAAGGAGGCAGCATGGTTTAAATGCTGCCTTTGCCGGTTATTCTGAGTAATATACTTTGACAGTTAAGAGGGTATAATAGTACCTCCATGGCCAAGTCATTCTGAAGGTTATAATGGTTACAGAGCACACTTACTGGCCATTATGTTTTAGGTCATCAATAATGCTAATGCCTGTCCAGCCATCTTAATGGTAATGTGATTTGAGAACCTGTTACTATCGTGACTATAACTTTTGTTAGCTTCTCACAGAAATTATGTAGCAGCTGTTAAAAATTGAGACTATTGGCATGCATTTATAATATAGAAATTCAGTAGTGTTGCCTGAAAGGAAATCCACATACCAGGGTATTAGGCTTGGAGGTGGCAAATGAACATTTTGATATGAAAAGAAATGAGCAGTCTTTTTCTTAAAAAGCAGATTTGGTTCTGCTTAAATGCTTCACCATATACCTGATTAAAGAAGCTGGTGAGTTTTGTAACTCAGAGTTTGGGAGATGACTTTGCTTAGAAAAGAGTTACAAATTGACTTTCTCTTCCAAAAAAGAGCCATAATATAATATTTATGGACTGTTTTAAGTTAGAGTAAGATAGCAACCTTGCCTGCAGTGATAAGTTTTTGTTTTTTGCAGATATATTTAATATATATATATATTTTATGTATAGTTAGATAACTGAGTTAATCTGATAGAAGCATTTGATGATACTCATCTGGGTGCTGAAAGGTATATATCAGGAAGAAAATTGTTCAATAGTAATTGGCCAGCAGGTATAGCACATTTATATGTTGGAGGATCGTGTCTTTAATTTAAAGGAGGATGTCAGTTTTTCTTGTTCATCTAAGTACTGTATCTGACTATTTTGATACAGGTTTTCAAAGACTGGTCTTTAAATGTATATTTTGCTTTATTAGTAGCCTTGCTGTATGGGTAATATTCCAGAAAGCTGTCTGCCTTGATCTTTTTATAAGTGTTAGATTGTAAGACTAAGACAGGCCTTAACTTAAGAGAAAATTGGAATTTTCGTATTGTAGACTTGACTGGTCTACTAAGAAATTATTTTGAAATGCTATTAATAGAAGACAGCCCTTTTATTAAGTAGGTGCATCATACTTTGACACCTTTGTTGATGCTGGTTAACAATAAGCCATTTATGAGAAGCAAGTACAAGGGTTCTGAGGATACAATAAGCTTGGTAGGTTTTAGCACTAGAAAATAAGAGTGTAGTATGAAATGAGTTCTGAGAAGTAGGCTTGGCTGCATCACACAATGCTTTTTAAAAAATTTTAAAGATGTGGGGTACAATTAAGGGTTAGGTACATATGTGGTTATTGTACAGGTAAACTTTGGGCCTCTCTTTGGTCCCTACTTTGCCTGGTTTGAGATCAGATGCCCTTACTGATGTTGTGTGTCCTCCCCCCCACCCCCAACAGTGTCCTACTACTGTCAATCCCTTTCTTATAGTATTATGTTAAATATTCAGGGTCCACTTACGTGTAAGTACTTATGGTACTCATATCTTTGTTTCTGTGATAGGTCACTGAGTACCAAAGACTCAAAATCCATCCAAGTTGCTGCAGAGTCCATAATTTTGTTTTTCTTTCTGGCTGTATAATATTCCATCATGTATATGTACCACATTTTTAAAATCCACTCGACCTTTGGTGGGCAGCATGGTTGGTTCCATGTTTTTGCTATTGTGAATAATGCTGCGATAAACATGTGTGTGCAGGTTTCTTTTTTGTAGAATGACTTGAATTCCTCTGGGTACATTCCCGGAAGGAGGATTGCTGGGTTGTATGGAAGGTCAATTTTTAGATTTTTTAGGAATTGTCACACGGTTTTCCACAGTAGTTGTACTAATTTACACTCCCACCAACAATGTAGAGGCGTTCCTTTTTTCTCTATTAATCCTTTGGGTTCCAGTATAACATTCAGATGGAGGGATCCAATTTGCAATTGGTAATATGGGAAAGGATGTCTTTCCTTAAATTTATTTTTTAAATTTAAATTTATTTATTTATTTACTTATTTATTTTGAGTTAAAGTCTCATTCATTCACTCAGGATGGAGTGCAGTGGCACATTCACGATCACCGCAGCCTCAACCTGCTGGGCTTAGTTGATCCTTCTGCCTCAGCCTTCCAAGTAGCTGGTACTTCAGGCACACACCACCACGACTGGCTAATTTTTTGATTTATTGTAGAGGCAAGGTCTCAGCAAGTTGCTCAGGCTGGTTTCAAACCCCTAGGCTCAGGCAATCCTCTTACCTCTGCCCCCAAAGTGCTGGGATTACAGGTGTGAGCCATCGCACCTGGCCTCTTTCCTTAAATTTATAAAATATTTCTAAGTCAATTACCTTTAAAAAATAATTTCTTTTTGTTCAATAGATATTATGCTTGGCGGAGCAGATTAAATTCACTGAAGATGTGGAAAATGCAATCAAAGATCATAGTCTTCATCAGATTGAAACACAACTTGTGAATAAGTTAGAGCACTATACTAACATCGATACTGGTTCTGAGGATCCAGGGAATACTGGTATGGAAAAAATGTTCCATTTGGGTTATTTGCACATACTTTTTGGTCTTCTATCTTAATTTATTGTGTTTTTGACTGCATATTTATCTTGGTGATTACTCTAGAAATTACAAGATACACAATTTTTAAAATGTTGTGCTTAGAATCAAAACTTTATTACTTCAAATGTAGAAACCCTACCACCATAGAGGTTTCTGTGTCTTCCCCTTTTTATGTTGCAGTTGTTTTATTACATCTACATACTCTGAAAACTCTGTGAGATTATGTTGTGATTTTTTCATTTAAGCATCAAACGTATTTGAAAAGACTCAAGAGGAAAAGAATAATTTGTTATATGTATCCAGGTGTCTTCCATTTCTGCTGCCCTTCCTTATTCCTTATATTCTGGGTTTTCTTCTGGTGTCATTTTGCTTCTGTTCAAAGAATGTCTTCCAGTGTTTCCTTTAGTGTGGATTTGCTGCCTATGAACTCATATAGATTCCCTTTATCCAAGAATGTCTTTCTTTCACCTTTATTTCTGAAAAGTTTTTCACTGGCTTTAGTGGGTTGACAGTTTTTTACTCTTAGCATTTAAAAATGTTGTTCCATCTCATTCTGACCTCTTTGTTTTCTTATGAGGAAACTACAATTATTTGAATTGTTATTCTTCTGTAATAATATATTGTTTTTTCTGGCAGCATTCACAACTTTATATTTTTCTTTAGTTTTCAATAGTTTATTTATAATGTAGACACATCTTTACATGTATTCTACTTAGGGTTCTCTGAGCTTGAATCTTTAGGTGTGTTTTTCCCCCAAATTTGGGAAGTTTTCAGCCATTATTCAAATTTTTGCATCATGCTCTTCCTCCTGTCTTTCTCAGTCTCTCACGACATGAATGTTGAACTTTTTAGTATTGGCCCACTGGTCTCTGAGGCTTTGATTTTTTTACTACTGTTTCCTCTTTATTCAGCCTGGATAATTTCTATTGCTCTGTCTTCAAGTACACTGACTCTTTCCTCTATTATTTTCATTTCAGTGTTGAGTTCATCTAGAGATTTTAAAATTGTTTTTGTGTTTTTCAAAGCTTTAACATTTCCATTTAGTTCTTCATGTATTTTTTTATTTCTTTGCTGAGACATTCTCTCTTTCCGTTTGTTTCAAGAGTATTCATCTTTACTCCTTGGAGCACTTTTATAAGAATGTTTTAAAGTCTTTTACAGATAATTCCAACATCTGTGCCATCTTGATACTGATACCTATTGATTGTCTTTTCGTATGTGAGTTGAGGATATTCTAGGATCTTTGCATGTTGAATAATTTTGGATGATATGATGAACATTTTGAATATTGTGTTATGAGAGTCTGAGTCTTGTTTAAATTCCCCTGAAGACTGTTGAATTTTTTGCTCTAGCAACTGATCCTTCTGGATTCACGCCACAAGTTCTTGTCATCCTTCTGTGGATTCTGATTCCCATGTCAGTTCTGTTTTCAAGTATTTGCAATGCTATTCCAATCTGTCCCATATGTGTGCCCCCAGTGACCAGTTCTCAGTTTTTGGTTTGCGGTTTAATGACATTTAATATTGTTCAGAGTTCTAAATAGCAGTTCAGGGCATGTATTCCAGGTTTTATACCTTCATTCAAGGAGGAAACATGGTGGAGACTACTCCTTTAGATAAAGAGCTGGAACTCTGCTGTCATTGAATTTTGATGCCTTTATTTTCACACACACAATTCTTATTTCTTTCTTACTGGTGGATTTGACGTTGTTTTGACTTGCATGATTTATATTTGTACGCCTTTCATATGTATCATGAAGTTGCCATTAAAGTCGTTCAGAAATCACCTGTACATATAATTCTGTTGTAAAGTATGTAGATAACAGGCTAATAGTATTTCCAATTGTGTTTATTTGTCCAGAATCGGGCATCCTGGAGCTTAAACTTAAAGCACTCATTCTTGACATTATTCATAATATTGATGTGGTGAAGCAGTTAAACCAAGTTCAAATTCATAGTACTGAAGACTGGGCCTGGAAAAAGCAGCTTAGATTTTATATGAAAAGTGATTACACATGCTATATTCAAATGGTGGATTCTGAACTTCAGTATACTTATGAATATCAGGTATGACGCATGGTAGAAATGTTTTATTTTTCCAGTTAGAAATTATTTGCTTTAAAGGAAATTTGCTTTTGGAAGAAAGAATTATTTTTGTTAAAGTAGTAATTTTTTAAAAAACTTTTTGTATGTCTGCTTTCTGTTTTCTGTTTTCTGCTTTCTGTTTTCAGAATTAAAAAGCTGCCATGTAAGAAAAAAGAAAATATCATTCTGTTTACAAAAAAGTTAAAATATTGCCAGTGTTGCACTGAATTCTCAAAAATGTGCCTTTTCGTAGAGTGGCGTTTACGTAGAGTTTGCAATGTGTCTTTGATCCACGGAGAACTGAGTGTAGGCAAGCACAATAGAGGCAATTTGGTTTGTGCCTGTTTACAATGAGTGTAATTGTAATTGTGCTAAAATATGTTTGCTAAATGTTTTCAGTTTGCAAGATAAAAGAATTTCAAATACATGACCTAGTGCGTGTAAATTGTTCTAAAAAAATCCGGCTATTTTCTCTGCCTTTCTCCATCATAATGAGTCAGTCATCAGAATATATTTGACAATTTTATTAGTAAGCCTGTGTCAGGAGAGCTGCCAGTTGGCTCTTTAAAAAAAGAAAGGTATTTTGAGACCCCAGATTTTCTACCTACATTGAGGAAAAAACTGTATAAATGGCAACTAGAATTAAAATCAGCTTTCCCTACAATTTAGTAGAAATTATGAGTTATTTGATAAGTTAGTATTAAAATTATTAATTTCATAAGAAATTTTTCAACTTAATTATCCTTTGAGATCTCCAAAGTAGATCTGATTTGTTGAACTCAGAAGATTCAATGAAATAATTTACATGATTTTAAAATATGAAATTGAATGATTATTGTTTAATTTTGGATTTGTTTCCCTTTGAAGCATCTTTGTGTCATTATCAAGAACTTGAGAGACAATTTTGAAACTTAGCTGTATATTAATTGAAGATAAAATGGAATACTTTCTTGAAAAATAACTAAGTTAAATTTCAGTTCGTGCTTTAGAAAGCTGCTTTCACTAAGAAAAATTGTGAATGTTTTTGTATGTTAAAAACTTTAACCTGTTTGTTGCATTTTAATCTTTTAAACGAAAATCTCACATTGTATAAATACTTATAAGTGCTGAGTAGAATGTGTGTACTCTGACTTTGTGTTTTTCTCATTTAGGGTAATGCTCCCAAGTTGGTTTATACGCCGTTGACAGACAAATGCTACCTAACTCTCACGCAAGCCATGAAGATGGGACTTGGAGGAAACCCTTATGGACCAGCTGGAACTGGAAAAACTGAATCAGTAAAGGCTTTAGGTGGACTTCTTGGAAGACAAGTTTTAGTTTTTAATTGTGATGAGGTAGAATAAATAATTATCAAAATATACTGTAATGTATTATATTTAGACTAGTTTTTATTAGCATATAAAATACTCTATTTAAAAATTATTCTACTTTTAAATTACTTGAAAACACAATTTATTTTAATTCAGCACCCAGTGCAGTGGCTCACGCCTGTAATCCCAGCACTTTGGGAGGCAGAGGCAAGAGGATTGCCAGAGCCCAGGGGTTTGAGACCAACCTGGGCAACGTGGTGAAACCTCATCTCTACAATAAATTAAAAAATTAGCCGGCTTCCAGCTACTTGGAAGACTGAGGTGGAAGGACGACCTGAGCCCAGCAGTTCGACACTGCAGTAGCTGTGATCATCGTGTCCCTGCACTTTAGCCTGGGCGATGGAGTGAGACTCTGACTCAAAAAAAAAAAATGTTTTCATTGAAAAGTAAAATGGAGAGAGGCTACACATAGCATAGTCCCAAAACTTTTCTAAAGAGAATTATTGCAAATAAATATTTATGATTATTGTTTTTTGAACTGGGGGTCTCAGTCTGCTGCCCAGGTTGGAATTAGTGGCATGATTATGGCCCACCAAAACCTTGACCTCCTAAGCTCAGGCAGTCCTTCCATCTCAGCCTCCCTAGTAGCTGGGATTAGAGCTGTGCCTCCATGCCCAGCTAATTAGAAATATACTTAAATACAGAATGAAGGTTTATGTTGCATAGTTGAAAAATGTTTTCAGTAAGAAGAATGATGAGTAGAAGAGGAAAAATGTTACATTAATTTTTTTTTGAGTTGGGATCTCACTTTGTTGCCCAGGCTGGAGTGCAGTGACAGGATGATGACTCACTGCAGCCTTGACCTTCTGGACTCAGTTGGTTCTTCTGCCTCAGCTTCCCAAGTAACTGGGACTTCAGGAGCACCACCATACCCGGCTAATTTTTTTTCACTTTTTGTAGAGACGAGATCTTGCTATGTTGCCCAGCCTGGTCTTGAATTCCTAAGCTGAAGTAGTTCTCCCACCTTGGTCTTTCAAAGTGCTGGCATTACAGGTGTGAGTAATAGCACCTGGCTGCCTTATATATGCTTAGTTCTTTGAACTTTTCTGAACGCTTTCACATGCATTATTTTATTTATTCCTTGAAATCGCCCTAGGATTTGAAAGAGTAGCTACCTAGAGGTGTAGATGGGTGAAGTGATTACTTTATTAATTAGTGACATAAAATATTGTTACTATCAGAAATTTTAATTATTTTGTAACAAATATAATTTTTGTTGTTTTCAAGGGCATTGATGTGAAGTCAATGGGGCGGATATTTGTCGGTTTGGTGAAGTGTGGAGCCTGGGGTTGTTTTGATGAGTTCAATAGGCTGGAGGAGTCTGTGCTGTCAGCGGTCTCTACGCAGATCCAGACAATTCAGGATGCCTTGAAGAATCACAGGAGTGTGTGTGAACTGCTTGGCAAGGAGGTACAGGGCCTGCTGGGAATTTAAAGAACTAAAATATTTTGGCATTGCTCACACTCAGGCAGTATTCTATTTCTCCTGGCTCCCTTGTTTTTAATCTGTGACCAGTATGTTAGGCTTTCTGCCTGTAAAATATCCCGAGGTTCTTTACTATTTTTGGTCCCACTTTCACCATTTATCTTTAAACTTTCAATGTTTAATAATTCAGTTATAATAACCTTAGCATTATTATATATGTTATCTGTGCTGGCACTGTACTCATTGCTTTAGTGTATTGTCTCTCTTAATACCACGATTCTTTGAGGCCGATTCTGTTATTATTATTTTTTTCTATTTTATGCATAAAGAAACTAGGACTTCTTAAGTAATAATAAGTTGTGGAGCTGGGAATTGAACTTCGGTCTGTCTAACTCTGAAGCACAGTTTTAAAAAAACTTTTAAGCCCAGGAACAGAATGAAGCACATTGTTTTCATCACTGTTCTATATGAGTATTAAAACAATAAGCATTTAGCTATTCTGTTCCTCACTTTTCTCCATAGGAGATACACATTCATGTCATTAGAATGCAAATTTATTTGAATAGAAAATATAAACTTCTGCAACAATGTGTAATGCTGAATACACTGAAAGTTATAAGTACTGTAAAATTATCCTGTTATATGTAACATTTTCACAATACGCATTTTTCTGGGTAGCGCAGAAAGTGAGAACAGTTCTGCATTGTTAGCATGTTATTTACAGGAAGCTTAAGCCCTTCTTCACAAAGATAAAAGAATAAACTATTAAATGAGAATCACCTCTCTGCCATCAAAATGTACTTTCTTCCACATTCACTTTTTGCCTTTTCCTCTTCTTACAAAGAAAGTTGTCCTTTCTCTCAGCAGCTCATCTTTGCCCCAGGTCTCGGGAGTCGACATCCCAGGGATGGTCTCCTAGTCATACCCTGTGTTGTAGCTTCAGCCTTCTCTCCTCTACTGATTCCCCATTGGCTTTAAACATAATCACATCTTTTCCACCTTAGTGAGAATTGAAGCAGAAACAGACTTTCCCTTAATTCTTATTTCCTCCAACTTGCTTTTGTTCTTTCTTATACAGCCAGAGTTTTTGCTTTTTCTACTCTGGGCATTTCTGCTTACTGATTGCCTAGTCATCATTTGCGCTGCCCCTCCCCCTCCAGGGGAATGAGGGACATATGGAGGGTGTGAAGGTGAAAAAGCAGGATTTACTGAGAGGACAGAAAAGCTCCCATAGTGGAAGGGGACCCGAGGGGTTGCCTTACACTGCTTTAAAAAAATTTTTTTTTACAGTTATTCAGCTTTTTTCTTTAGGGCTTTATTGAAATGCTCCTATAGATGCTCTTACATTCAATTCTTCCCTGTCATAACATTTATTACACTATGATTTCCTCTCTGTAATATGAGATAGATTATGAGCTCCAAACGGCATAAACCATTATTAACTTTAGTTCAGCATTTTCTTTGTGTAATTAACAAAGTGCTAAGTGCAAAGAAGGCTTTTAGTAAGCATTGTGAATGAACGAATAGATAATCAAATTAGTTACTATCTCTTAAGCTTTCAGCTTCAAAGGACTATGATAAAGAACCTCTGTAAAACAGTGTAGTTCCTAAGGAATTTACTGTATGTTGAGTAAGGAGATGGTTAGTACATTGGTGGCTACTTTTTGCTCGGGTGCAAGGTTTATCTAGTCATGTCAAAATAAAATTTCTGTTGGCACTATATTTTATATGTATAATTTCAAGGCTCTGATGCTTATATTTGAAATTAATATTTCAGGTAGAAATAAATTCTAACTCTGGAATTTTTATCACTATGAATCCTGCTGGAAAAGGTTATGGAGGAAGACAAAAACTGCCTGACAATCTTAAACAGCTTTTCAGACCAGTAGCTATGTCTCGTCCAGACAATGAGCTTATTGCAGAAGTTATTCTCTACTCAGAAGGCTTTAAAGATGCAAAAGTACTAGGCAGAAAATTGGTAGCTATTTTCAATCTATCTAGGTGAGTTTTCCTGTTTTAAATGTTCTTTGGTTTTGCATTTTTAATGGTTCATTATGTTTATTAGCGATCATTGTCACATCTTCCCAATGTACTATTTCTTGATTTTCATATTGATATTTTAATTTATTTTTGGTGTTGATGCGAAAGATTATATTTGAACGATAAAAACATCTGACTCAAAGCTACTTGTTTTTCTTTTTTTTTTGAGTTGGAGTCTCACGCCCTCTGATTTTTTTTTTTTTTTTTTAGTTGGAGTCTC